GGTGGTGGATGTTACGGGCGCGCAGATGGTGCTGGTGATGAAGGTCTGCTCTATTTGTCTGAAATCTCAGGAGTGGGGAAGCTAACAATGTGCGGTATTCAAGTTGACGGCATTTTGTTGGTCTGTGCATGACGGACGGCTGCCAAAATCAGAGCTTTCTGAATTTCAACAGGATCGCGCGCTACCGCAGATGCCGAGTTTACTTGATTACGCCGGATATGTGGTATGTTTTCTCAGTATTTAGCCCTGATGCTTGAGAAACTTCGCTGACCCCACAAAAAAGTTGTTCTTCCCTTCTCTATTCGCGGGTCCAGCCTTCGACTTCGCCGAATATCGCAGATGGATCGATTGCAGCATGTTTGACGTCGAAATTCCAGATACCAAAAGGGGCGGAACAAAGAGGAAAAGAAAGATTCCCAGTAGTTCTATTCCTGCAACAATAAAGGCAGTGAAGGGACTAGGATGGATTTTCCTGTTCTTAAAGTTTTCGAGTTGGTATACAACAGAGTTTGCTCTCAGCGATCAATTCCTGGAATATGGTATTTTCAGAAGGTAAAGGCTTTGCAGGCAGGGTGACATGCTTGATGCTAATTATATTATCAGAATATGGTACATCTATCTTCTTAGCTTCACTGCACGCCTAAAGTACTATGGTGCTTGGTACCTCACCGAAGGTGCTTGTATCCTCTCAGGCCTCGGATACAATGGTCTTGACGAGAACAAACAGCCACGCTGGGATAGATTGACCAATGTTGGACCGCTTGCGCTTGAGACCGCACAAAACACCCGTGCGTATCTGGAAAACTGGAACATGAACACAAATAAATGGCTCAAGAACTATGTCTACCTGAGGGTCACACCAAAGGGCAAGAAACCAGGTTTCAGGAGCTCTATGGCCACTTTCGGGACTTCTGCTATTTGGCATGGAATCTCGCCTGGGTACTACTTGACGTTTATTACTGCGTCATTTGTACAAACTGTTGCAAAATGTATGTGTTCCGTCCGATTAGTATAACGAAAAGCTAACAGTGTGCGCAAAGACTTCCGCCGGCATGTAAGACCACTTTTCATGACTGCTGATCAAAAGTCAGATGGTCCATACAAGAAGATCTACGATGTGTTTGGCCTTCTGGTGACGCAATTCTCATTTGCGTACATTGTTGCCCCTTTCATCATCCTTGACTTGAAGGATTCGTTGAAATTGTGGTCTAGAGCATACGTAGGTTTTGTTCTGATCCATACAAAAAATCAAATTAGTTGATATCTAATTCCTTAGTTCTTTGTTCACATTGGAATCTTCGTCTCCCTTGGATTCTTTAACTCTCCCGGCAAAGCATGGCTTCAGCAGCGTCTAAAGAATAAAGTTGGCCGAGCCGCAGCCCGCGAGCTCCACAAATCTGCATCCTCGGAAAACTTTCAATCAGGATCTCTGGGGGTCCCAGATGATCCGATCAGGGAAATTGAGGATATTCAGATGGAGTTGCAGGCGAAGAAAGAAGAGATTCTCAAGAGGAGAGCGACCGACAGGATGAACAAGGCGAAGAAGCAGAAGTAGATGCTTTTATGCGGTTTGTTTGCGTAGTGTAGTGTTAATTACGGACAGCCTTGACATAGCGTTTTAGTTATTTATGTCTCCCTACTGTTTCTTTTGTCAGTTGTATAGAAATGATTGGGGGTTATGGTTTCTGGGCATGACGCCCGGTGTGTGTGGTGCTGTATCGATACCTTTTAGTTAAGATATTGAGATTAATATGGCTTGAGAAGTCATTAAGCCTCACCAGATTTGTTGTGAGAACGATATGTTCTGAGAAGTTCTAGCTGACATAAATGATCGTATTTACAAAGATTGTCAACTGACCAGAAGAAATTTGAATTGAGAGGGTTATGGTATTGTCTAATATGTACTGCCCTTAATTCTGCGAACCTACTAGCCCTCTGATTGGCCAAGAGCGGAACCTAACCCTGACCTCTGCGTGGCAACGGGCTCAAATGCCACGGAATGTCAAATTCAACTGCGGCTTTATACTGGGGGGTATTGCGCACTATTATCAAAATAAAAAAATACCCCAAGCGGTACGTTTTGGGTGGTTATAGTATCTCTTCTTTCATACACAAAAAAAGAACAAAAAGTACTGTGCGGTTCCGGGACGAACTGGCACTACTCCCACCCCTGGGTCGAACCCTGGCCTTCTGTGATCGAAAGCAGGGCTAAACCTCGCGGTGTTCTTTGGCGAGGGCTAAACCGTTAGACCACTCGCCCATGTGTGTTGGTGGCTAGAAACGACATTTGTGCGCCAAGGATGGTTGGCTAGTAAAGTATGTACTCCCAGATTACACCTAGAAAATTTCCTTTGGTGAACGTTTGAGCCATATTTGGTGTATTTGCCAATCCGAGTGATAATTGAAGACTGAGGAGTTCTTGCATTATTGAGCCCTGATCAAGATTTACCCTTGAGCTGACCGAAGGGACGAACCGTTAGTCACGTTTTCCAATGCCTCCTTCTAACATTCTCAGGCCTGACACCAATTTGTGACAGGGTATACACATTGAGTAAGTGCTTGACTGATGATATTGACGGTGGTACTGGCGGAGGTAAGGGGCCTCTTCGTTACGGAACATTCACGCACTTGGTTGTTTGGCCCACGACTCTCAATCCTGGGCCCTTACCATTCCTAGCTCGGGGCTACTCTATGATCCAGCTCCCTGCGTAGATCATTCTTATTATGCTACTCATACTGACAATGTAGCTTATCATATCGAAGCTCGGGTATCGCTTTTCCTACTTTTCACCAACTAAATCCCGGTGCGAGAGCCGCGGTAGAGCTTGTCGACGAGGATATAGCTATGCTAAACAATAGCACTGTGAGTTACTGGCTGTATACCAGGAATGTTCTGCGCTTCCAGGAAGGCTCTCATTCGACCTGTACATATAGTCAGCGCTGCGCTACTCTATTCTGGTTGGTTCTGTGTATTCTGAACGGTTTTCGTGTGTCCTAGGGTGCCACGCAGAGTTATGCGTGGGATGGGTATGAGTATGTATTTGGCTGGCTCGGAAAAGAGTTCTAGTAGCGGTTATCATGGTAGATTGGTTTGAGACGGATCGATGCCCCAGTCATAGCACTGATATACTTTACAACTGTTAGTGGGAAGAGGAGTTGCTGTCGAATGCTTTCTCGACGACGACATAAATCCGGTTAGCTTGATTGGGCTTGGATCAATGAGATGCAATTTTGGCCCTGATACCTGTCACTACCAAACCAATTAACTACAGATTGTCTTGTTAGAGTTCCAAGACATTGTCAAAAGTTATACACGGTTTATACAATTATGCGTGTGCATGTCCTAGTATCGGATTCCTTGCGTCACCTCCGTATATCTGGGTATGAAATACTTTTGTGTGATATCTGGGCTAGTAGATATCGACTTTGTCTCATTTCTGGTATATATATATACGTTGGATTGACGGATTCGGAATCACAACTTCTTTTTTCATAGGAGTAGCTGTTATATATATATATTCACGCCCTAGACAGTCTTGATAGCCTCAAAAGACTATGTAAGTTACTATGGGGCAGTGGCTGAGATGTGCTGCCTTAGTCCGGTATTTTCTCGTTTCTGGAGAATATGATCCTATTCCAAATTGGGCTCAAAACCCTCCGAGTGACACCCCATGACCTCCGGGTAACCCCTCTCCAATCCCCAGCCAAACCCTGTACTCTCGAGTCTCCAGCCCCAAGCAAGTATCACGGAAACCTCCGCCAGCCATTCCCAGCTCCACCCAAAGTTAAACACCGCCGAACGAGATCCCCAGAAAGACAAGCCAGCAAAAAAGCGAAAAGATGTCATCCAACGTCGGCCTGACCACGCCCCGCGGCTCCGGCACCTCCGGCTACGTGCAGCGCAACCTCTCGCACCTCAAGCCACGCGACAACATCGCGCCCTACCCAAAGGACTACGACTCGTTCAAGACGTACAAGCAGCGGCAGCCCGACAAGGAGATCCTGGAGCACGACCGGAAGCGCGAGGTGGAGGTAAAGTGTTTGGAGCTCAGGGATAAGCTCGAGGATGAGGAGTAAGTGCTTGCTGCTTCTATTGGTGGTGGTGCTGGTGGGAGGTGGTGTGGAGGGGACAGAGAGCTAATGTTCATGCGTGGGAACGACAGGGTCGACGAGGAGGAGATCGAGAGACAGGTCGATGAGCTCCGGGTGAAGCTGCTGGACGAGATGAAGAGGGGCGCGGGTGGTGTCAATGCCAGGGGCCTCAAGCCGCACCAGGTACATGAGCTGGCGGCCGCGAAGCTTAGTATGTCACCCCCTGTTCGGGAAATTTTTTTTCCCAATTGTTGTGGAGATGCTGATTGGTGGTGGGTGTAGCGGAGAGCGAGAGACTGAGGAATGCGCTGAAGATTTCGGCGGATTACAAGGAGGGCAGCCATTGGAGGAAGCAGAGCGAGAAGAAGGAGAGGAAGAGGGAGATGAGGGAGAGCGAGTATGCGAGCCGGAAGGAGAGGGACGAGAACCCGTAGGAGCTTTCCGGCTTGTTCTCGTTCTTCGTTCTCGTGCTGTTTCCTGGTGCTGGTTTTTTTCTTTTCTTTTTGTCTTTTCCTTGGTGTGGTTTTTAGTCTTCCTTGGTTTTTTTTCACAAGTTTTTTTTCTACAAGTTTTTTCGGGCTTACTTTTGGTTTTTACTGGATTCTTTTTTTACTGGCCGAAGGAAGGCATATAATTTGACAATGATCATGACACTCCAGGGTATGGACGGTGTAGGTTCTACGGAAAAAAAAAGAGCAAGCAAGAAAGAAAGAAAAACAAAAGCATGGCTGAATCGGCGTTCGGTTTATGGTGTATCAAGTTAACGCCGCCCCAAGCAAGCAAGCAAGCATTAGCTACATGATCCATCCAGAAACCCTCCTCCGTAAAGCTTTTTCCAAGTGGCATTGTGAAGCGCTCTCTTTGGATAAAACAACAATAGCTACATAGACAGCTATAGTAGTACTTGCCTATTCCTCGGGTCTCGACTGGTTTTTTACGTCATCATGAGCTGTCCCATCTGAATCCTTTCTGCCGTTGCATCTGTTTCTGCCCTCCTATTAATATTCAGTGCTGCGTTCCAGATGCAGTTACCGGTCGTGGGTATCATTTCCTTCCCTTCCTTACCGCACTGCACCTCTCCCACTCTCTCTCAAAGCATCGCTAATCTCGATCCGCCGGAATATCGGGTACGTACTGGACAAACTGTCAAATCTCTTCCGCGCACATGGCCTTCTCCCCTTTTCTCCCTACTAACTAATCGGCATCTGCTGCAAGAGTGTTGTTCACTCAATGCCCTTACCTTGGATACATGTGCCTGCCTTACCTGAGTTAGCGTATGGTTTCGAATGTTCTGCGCGGACACGGCTTGGCAGGTACTTGCAGGGATGCTGCACGTCGTCGTCGCCCGGACAGCGAAGTGCAGCTGCGAGGGAAGGGGGCCGACGTCCGCTTCTTACTTGTCTATCATTGACAGCTTCGTGCCTATCATTGACAGCTATCGGGAGTATGTGGCTGCTCTGTTCTCTGCCTGTCTTTTGCTCACGATGGAGCGTCTTTGGTCTGCAGTGGAGAAGGGCAGAGCAGAGTAGAGCAGAGGGAGTAGGGAATATAGGTGTGTGATGTGTATATGTATTTAGAGGTCCCTTCTGCCCAGTAGAGTACGTGCATAGCTTTTATTCGCGGAGCAGGAGGGGGTGGAAAAGAAGCGGAAGCGCGAGAGGTAGTAGCTAGGGTGTAGAAGAGTGCTTTTTCCACCCGGTGAGCCAGCAGTAAGTAGGTAAGCCAACTGTCACACAGCGTGCCTGCCTATCTGGCTGCCTGTGTATCTGTCTGTCCCTGCAAGGTGCCTGATATCGCGATCGCCTCATCGTGCGTGAGTCCTTCTCCTCCAACCAAAAAAACCACCGCCAAAACCACACATATAGAGGCAGATCATTAAATAAACCCCACCCACCACCCCGTTCCATGTCAGCCCTCATCTCCGGTCTCTTCTCGCACCCGCACCGCCCCCACCCCCCACCACCCGCCATGTCTACCGTCGACCCCGTCGCCGCCGCCGCCACCGAAATCGGCATCGAGATCGCCGCGCCCCCAAAGTACACTATCCGCTACCGCAAAGAATGGGGGCACTCGGTCCACCACCACGTGTCCGTCGACTTCAGCGCCATCACCCCCGGCGACATTGGGGGCCTCTACGCCGCGCTCTCTGAGGCTATAACAGCCGACCTAGTGCGGCGGGAAGGCTCGAGCAAGAGCGGCAAGGGCTTGTCGAGGGCGGTGCCGCGCACGATGCTCCCGCTCGACTGCGATATCAAGGTGGAGCTGTGTAGGCTGCTGGACGATCAGGGGCGCTTGTATATACCGCCGGTGAAGGAGACGAGCGTGTTTAGGCAGAAGTATGCGCAGTTGCAGGGCGGAAATGCGACGGATAAGACGTATGAGCTGTTGGCGTTCCTGCTGGATAGGGATGTGAAGAAAGCATGGGAGCATCTGCAGGATGGGTTGTTCTTTGAGGAGGAGGAGGGGTGGCCGTGGTATTCGCTGTTGGTGTCGTATTCGCATGGTAGGTGTTTCTTGGAGCTTTGAGGAGAGGGTGGAGAGAGAAGGGAGTATTGATATCGATACTGACGGTGTGCGCTGTAGAATCGAGACTGGATAAAGTCGTCAAGCACCAAGGCCGGCTTGTAATGGCTGATATCGACCCGCAGACCTTCTTCCCCCTCCTGGTATCCCCGCCGCCAACACCGCCATCAGCAAGCAGCTACGGCCACAGCGGTCACAGCGGTCACAGCGGGCGCGCCGGGCACGCCAGACATAACAGTCACAGCTACGGTCACGACGGGCACGACGGGCACGACGGGCACACCAGCTACCCTGACCACCCAGTGCTCATGCACGGGCAAACGCTGCCGCTCGGCGGCGAAATCATCGTCGAGAAGGCTAGCAAGCCGCGGCGCACGAAGACGCTGACAGAGACGACGAGCAGCTCATCGGCCACGGTGAAGCCGCACAGGTCCGAGAAGCCGAGTCGTAGCTCTTCGTATAAGCTGGCGTCGGCGAAGTATGCGGATGTGAAGGCGAAGTCGAGGAGCGCGTTCTCGATAGGGAGTCTGGTGAAGGCGGATAGGTGACAATATCGGTGGAGGGACCTGTCGTGGGAGGAGAGGACGGCGGGTTGTAGATATTGTTTCTTTTGAGGTTTAGGGAGTCTGCTGGGAGGATTCTTGTCTGTGGGGGAAGGTGGGATATTTTTTTTGGAGGGGGGGTTTCTTCTTGGAGTGGAGGGGAGGGGGGGGTTTCTTTTGTACTAACAGGCACTGCTCTCGCAGTTTTCCTAGGTAGTAGCGCAGTCTTACCTTCTCTCTTTTTTTTTTTTTTTGCTTTTTTTGCTTGTTCAATTTGATTATTAGTAGCTATCAGTTATCAATTGAGAGTATTATCAATATATCGTAATTTCCCTTCGAGTGCAGACAATAAACACCCCTCTCTGATCATTGACGTTGCGGGGATGTCTCAGTTCTCTCTTTCTCTGCTTTGACTTTGACGTTTGACGTAGGAGGCTCTTTTTACACAGCGACATCCCTGCCGCACAGTCTTAGAAAATCTTTCTTCTTCTTGGCAACACCAACCCAGACCGAAGAAAGAGAAAACTCTCCTCCTTCGAAAGAAAACCTCATACTCACGATAGGATATACAGCATAGCGGAGGAGACGCTAAATACATATCAGAGACATCGCCAAATGTCTCTCCATCTCTACAAGCCGCTGGGCTCTAACGACGAGTCCGTGCGTCTCTCCACCGCGCACACGCTCACCACCGAGCTCACCACGCTCCTCACCACCGAGCGCACCCCGCAAAGTAAGAAGGACGTCGACTATGCCCTCTCGCGCCTCACAAAGGGCCTCTCCTCCGGGAGTAACTCCTCACGCCCCGGTTTTGCAATTGTCCTCACCGAGGTACACCCCCTCCCATTCCCTCTAACTCTCACTCTCTTCCCTCACTTCCACTCACTTGCCCTCTAACACAACCCCGAGGAGACCACATAGTTCCTTGCCTCCCTCCAGTCCTCAGGAAACCCCGCCAAATGGGATATCTCCCTCGCCACCATCCTCTCCGCCGTCAAGACCAACACCACCCCACAAAGCGGACACACCACCCGTCCGGAAGAACGCGGCTACCACCTCGGCCGCCTCTTTGGACTGCAGAGCATCCTGCAGTCCGGCATCACCGCGGCGCCCGGCAGCGAGGCCGAGGCCGCGCACAGAGAGGTCCTCCATGAGCTGTTCGAGCTGGCGAAGCGCAAGCCATGGCTGCGCGAGAGCTGCGCGTGGGCCGTGTGTGAGTCTGTGCAGCGCGGGGTTGGCGCAGGGGCGGCGGCAGCGACGTATTCGACGCTGGTAGAGAGCGGGATGAGCAAGACGACGGAGGGCGTTGCGGTGTGGCTGTGCGTGGCGGCATATCACCCGGGGGTTGCGGCGCCGCGGGAGGTGTGGAGTGGGGGGTTGCCGCTTGGGGCAGGGAATTTGGGGGTGTTAGGCAAGATCTTGAAGGATTCAGGGGAGGAGGAAGGCGGTGGGGGTGCGGCGAAGGGGACGTGGAGCCAGAAGTTGCACTTTGTGTGGGACTTTATTCTGGCGGTGTATTTGGCGGAGGAGGGGGTGTGGAGTGAGCTGGGGAAGAGCTCTGAGATCGCTGGGTGGGCTGAGCTCTGGAGAGCTGTTGTTGATGGTGAGTTTCTTTTGTTCTTTTCTTCTTCCCTGCCTTTTCTAGGATGAATCGCTGTATTAGTATCCTCCCCGGAGCTGGTGCCCAGGATTGCCTAAACTCAATGGCCCAGTAGCATTCCCGGAAGCCCCACATCCCCAAACCCTCAAGGGCCAATGATCAACATACATCTTCTGAAAACCCGCTAACCAATCATTACCCCCCTCCAGAATCACTATTCTCAACTTCCGCTTCCGAAGAGCGCAAATTCCACGGCTTCCTCCTCTTTGCCAAAGCGCTCGAGCAGACCACGCCCTCCACCTCCCAGCATCTCTCCGCCCTCTTCACCAAGAATTTCATGCGCAGCCTCATCAACCAGCTGTCCGACGCCTCCCGCTACCTCCACAAAGCCGCGGCCAAATGCGCGCGCGCCCTCTTAGCCAAGGCGGAAGCGGCGCCATGGAGCGTCCCCATCATCGTAACACAGCTCATCACAAACAACGGCACCCCGAGCTTCGACTCCTTGACCAAGGGCAAGCACGTCGAGAAGATCCTGTGTCTGGCCGACGAGGACGGGCTCGTGGCGGTGGTGCGTGTGCTGCGCGGCATCATGCTCGCGCCGGGGGTGGACGAGGTGAAGGCGGCGGAGGTGCGCAGGCAGTGGGCGTGCGATCAAATCTTGTCCGTGGTGCGCAGCAGTAAGAGCGTCAAGTCCGGCGCGTGGCTCAGGGAGGTGGTGGAGATGTTTACGGCCTTCGGCCACTTTGATGTGCTGGAGGGCGCGACACCACCGATCAGTGCGGGTAGCCAGGGGATGTTTAGAAGCCGCTTGATGAGCTGCTTGTCGCATCTGATCACGCTCAAGGATGCGGCGGACGGCGACGAGACATGGCCCTACAGGGCCGTCAAGACCATTGGCGCACTCAAGAAGACCGACGGCTATAAGCTCGCTATCGAGATCGACGACGTGATCGCCGAGGCACTCAAGAGCGCCACTAAGACGCTCGAGCGCATCCGCAAGAAGCGTACCGCGCACAGCAGCAAAGATAGCACCAAGTCGTCGCAGCTCTCCTCCTTCGAGCTCCTCTACTCACTGGTCATCCTGCAAGTGTACGCCGGCGAAACCGACGCCCTGGGCGTCCTCGACGAGCTTCAGATCTGCTACGACAAGGTAGTGCGTAAGAAGGGCGACGACGAAGACGTGGACGCGAGCCAGGTGCTGGTCGAGATCTTGCTGAGCTTCCTGTCAAAGCCGAGCGTGTTGCTGCGCAAGCTGGCGCAGCAGGTGTTTGCGAGCTTTGTGGACCAGATCACGGCTGGCGGGCTGGAGGCCATGTTTGCTGTGCTGGAGACGAAGGAGAGCTTGGGTGGGCAGCAAGAGCTGTTTGACGGGAACGATGAGGACGAGGAAGGCGACGTCGATATGGACGGCAGTGATGACGGAGAAGAGGACTCGGACGTAGAGGTCGTGGACGCTGAAGATATGGATCTCGACGAAGAAGACGCCAGCTCCGACGACGAGGGCTCCGCATCCGACGACGACTCTGAAGACGAAGAAATCGACGAGACCGAAGCCACCAAGCTCGAGTCCGCCCTCGCCGAAGCCCTCAGCGCCAGCGGCGCCGCCGCAAACTCCGACGATGATGGCAGCGACATGGACGACGACGCCATGCTCGCGCTCGACCAGCACCTCGTCACAATCTTCAAGCAGCGCAGCGCCGAGAAGTCCAAGAAGGCCGAAACACGGGCGGCCAAGGAGACCATAACAAACTTCAAGAACCGTGTTCTGGACCTACTTGACATCTTTGCGCGGTCACCGCGGGCGCTGGATGTCGGTGTGTCGTCGGCCATGGTGTTGCCGCTGCTGAGGTGCGCGAGGAGGACGGCGAGTAGACCAGTGGCCGAACATGCGGCAGTGGTTGTGAGGAACTTTGCGAACTCGTTGAGGGGGAAGGAGGCGGATGTTGTGGTCGGTAAAAAACAGGAGAGGGAGGCGCTGTGGGGCCTGCTAGAGGAGGTGCACGTGGAGGCGGCGAAGGACGGGGGGGCGGGCAGGGAGAAGCATAAGGCCGCATGCTCGCAAGCTAGCATTGCAGTCATGAAGGTGCTGGTTGCGAGCGGAGGCATGAAGAAAGAGGATGTCGAGAGGGCCGTCAGCATCTATATGAAGAGCTTGACAAAGCTGCTGACGGACCGCACATGGAGGGTGCAGGGAGGCCTGTTTACGGACTTTATAAACTGGGCCGTGACGGCGGGGAAGAGGCTGCAGAATGGGGAGGTGTCGAAGTGAGAATTGTAGATAGAAAAAATCTTTTTTAGTGTAGTGTAGTGTGGTTAGTGTAATAAGTAAAAGCGAATATCTTTTCTTTCTTTCTTTGTGTTTTTCTTAGGAGTAAAATGTTGGGAAAGGATGAGCCCCTTCTGGCGCAATCTTTGAGAGCTTTCCGTAAACTGTGAGTGTTCAATGTCAAACAAACACTGATCTCGACCCTTGTGCCAAATCAAGGATGTCTGTGTTGGAGTAATCACAAGAGGTCACTCGCTCTTGGCAGCCACATTGGTAGCAATATATTGGTTGTTAAAACGGTCGACCTAAATTATAAAAGAATGAGCACATTTCTCGGTTTCTCATAATATTACTAGGCAAGAAGAGTAGCGCCCTAGGGTAGAGATATATGAGCCCCCATAGTACATATACCAACCCGTTTTGGAGTAAACCGGGAGTTTAGAATAGATTTTGGTCCTACGTGAATTAGTATAGGAGGAAAGCTGGGGCTTAATTTATTAAAGTAAAACAAAACGCGAATGATTATATATATATATATATATTGATGATGAAACAAAGAAAGAAAAGAAAGCGAGACACAAGAAAATGTAGCTGTAGACAAATTTAACTAGCGAGGACACCGTGACCACTGTGACCTGTCCTTCATCACAAGCACCACCTGTCCTCGTATTACCCACAACTACATGTATCCTGGTCAGTCTACCTACGCTACCCGCACCGTCCAGGCCAGGCCAGGCCAGGCCAGCCATAGATTTTACCATACTTTAACCTAGCAACCTTGCCTGTCGGTGGCCACAGATGGCCACACCAAAACCTCTCTGAACTCCTTGCTACAGTATTAGTTTGGGCCCCGCCCCTCCCGATATCCCTCATATTTCCTCCAGAGTACGGCTGCGAGGCCTTAGGGGTCCTTGTTAGGGAGGGTATATACTGCTTCTAGACATTTCCCTTGAGGGGATGACCGAGAGTTGAGACGTTAGGTTTTGAGGCTGGCGTGCTTTGGTTTCGGCCCTGCGTGTAGGCTTCTACCTCTCCGTAGACGTAGACTTTAGGCTTGTTAGGCTCTAGTTAGCTCTTCTCTAGCTTAGGGGAGTCTTTGGTCTCTGTGAGCTTTTGGTCTCCTGTGAGCTTTTAGTCTCCTATGGCAGTTTGGCTTTATCTTCGTCGTCTCCTAACTACTGCGAGGAGGCATCGAGAGATACCATTTTGCGCTTCTAGTCCGGTGTGCGGGCTTTTTGGTTCTCTGTAGCCTCTCAGTCTTTTGTGGGTTCCTGGTTTCTAGTTCAGGCTTTTGGTCTTTCCTCACGTCATCTTCTGATTGCCGCTCGAAGACGACTTGGGACTTTGGACTTAGTATAAGACGAATAGTCATGGTCCCAAAATCTTCTGGTTGATCACCCAGATTTTAGGCCTACTCACACTTTAAGGCAAGAGGATGTAGCGCATATAAAACCCATGCACTACCCTAGCTGGTTTCAGCATCGGTATTGTGCAAAAGATCGCACCCTGAGGTATTAGAAGTACCTTTAGCACAACCCTCCACCTCACCTTGAGGTAGCAGCTACAGGTAATCTCCTCCTGTCTTTATATCCCCTCTCCAAAGCCAAGAGTATTCAGGTAGCTAACTAACTGAAAATCTAATGACTACATATCGGCACAACCCCCCACTTCCCCCACTCTGAACAATCTTGTAGAAGCTCGAGAAACACGGGTCAAACTCAAGATATCACAGGGAAGATCTCTTGAGGCCGAGGCCGGCCGGAAATGCAGCAGGAAAATGTTACCCTTTCTCACCTATGGGAACCGTCACCAAATGGAGCAAGTTGTCTTACAGGGTGTACTTGAGTGACCGAGTGACATTTGGTGACGGATAGCGGTAAGATAAGTCTTTCACTGAGCACCAGACATAGATCACCCAAAATTAAGATTGTTCAATCTTTCTACTACCATTCTTCTCAACTACACTCGGAAATATTACTATTTCAACCATCTCATCCCAGGTCAATATCTACAATTCTTTGTACCTACAGATTGGTGTAACCCGCCTGTCGAATTTACTAATGCACGCATCTGGGAGAAACCAGATGGATGATTGTCATCAAAAGAAACCATCAAAGTGCCTGGAAAAAAAATCAATTCAACATTTCGCCCTGCCAACCCCCAAAAGTACCCACATGAAACCCGGAAACAAACACTAAATACATAACACATGCTCTTTTCCCTTGCTCCAGGAAGCAACATTAAAACAATAATGTAAAAGCCGCAATTCCCCTTTTTGAGGCCTACACCCTGACCTTTTTAGTACCCCCACAAAAAGAAAGATCCAGTCCGCCTTTACGCCCAGGTATCAAGATTTGTGCCCATCTTTTTTTTTAACAGATTTTCTTCATTCTTCGTCAAAACGCAGGGGGTAAAAACAGGCTCCTGATTTCCCTCTCCCTTGCCACTAGGAACACATCTCTATCTTTACAAGGAAACAAAAAATGTCAATCAACATGAAAAGAAATGCATCTTGCTATTGGCAACATACTTATGAGACGAACTGGCCGAGGCCAGCCATGTCACCCTCTTTAGCAGCGATCTCGAAATATCCATAGATGATTCTATAAACAATTTATATTAGCAAATGTCCAAACACAATAACCTCACGGTAGCAGGTAAAACTTACGTAACAGCCAACAAGATACCAGTTCCGGAACCAAGAGCACCGAGAAGGTCGGAAGCGACGGAGAGAGCACCAATGCAAGCACCACCGAAAGCAGCGGCAACAGGGATAACACGCTTGAGCTCCTTGTACATGCTCTGCTCACGATGTCCGGCCATTACCAAACCCTGTTCCTTCAATTGCTTGGCAACATCACGGGGACTAGAGCCAGAAACCTCAATCCAGGTCTTGGAGAACATGGCGCAGGCGGTGAGCATGAACAAGATGTAGATAGCGGTGTGAAGTGGGTCGATAAGAGCGTCGGTGAAGTTGAGGGGAGGAGACATGTAGTAAGAGATACCAGACACAGCGTAGAGCTGAGCAGATCCTTCCTTGGGCTCCCAGACACCGAGGAAACGAACGAGAAGGTTATCTGGGAGACGGTTGTACAACATCTGTGAGACGAGGAAAACGTTGGAGCTCAAAGCAGACTGTAGCATGATAGGCATGTTGCTGGTGTAGAAAAGACGGACCGGGTAGGTTCCACGAGTTCCACGGTAACGGCTAGACTTGACGGGGATCTCGACACGGAATCCCTGGAGGTAGATGACCGAGGCGAAGACAACGAGGGTAGCCAAAAGGTTCATGATGTTGGGGAGATTCTGGCGGTAGAAAGCCTCACGGAGAGCGCGGTTCTTGTCGCCCCAGGTAAGGAGGAGATGGAACAAAGCAATGACGGCTCCCTCGAATTCAGGTCCACGTCCAGTGTTGATGGTGGTGGGAGAGAAAGCCTTCCAGATGATGCTCTCGCAAATGTTGGTGGCAATGAAAAGAGAGATACCGGATCCAAGACCGTAACCCTTCTGGAGGAGCTCATCGAGAAGAATGACAATGACACCTGCAACAACGAGCTGGAGAATAAGAAGAAGGCAAACACCAGCACCAAGATCACTGGGCTGTCCGTAGAGACCAGTCAAAACGTAGACGGTAGCTTGTCCGAGAGAAAGAATAATGGCAAACACTATAGGTTATATCGTTAGCTCATTACCATTGAAGGATCGCCAAATGGAATTGAATGGCTGCTTACACTTCTGGGCGGTCTGGTAGAGCTCGCGATCAGACTTAAGGTCGAGGTTGACATCAATCAAGTGAGTACCGGCGAGAAGCTGGAAAACCATTCCAGACGAGATAATTGGAGATATTCCCAGCTCCATCAATGTTCCTCTGTTACTTGCCAACATCATACGGAGCCAATAGAGGGGATCCGAGGTATCTGAAGATACAATTCCATACAATCTTTATGCAGGTCAGCAAAGCTGTCCAATGGGAGCAATTAATCTGGAACAATAAAACTTACGGCATTTGGGACATAACCAAGAAAATAAGTAGTGTCAACTATTGGCGCCATAGCACGTCAGCATCCGTGCACAAAATAAGGCCACATTGCTACCAAAGCAAGCGAGGCTCAAGCATCGCGAAGAAAAACTCACCCCAGTCCACATTAGCCTTTGTCTGAATGGAGTTTTGCGTTCGGGCGCCGCCACCTCTGGGAGGATGGGCACGAACGGCTTAATCAAGTCGAGGAATCGCACTGTAGAAATAGAGTCAGTATAGTTCAAAGGAATTGCGAAACACAAAGTTTTCTAAAGCGAGATGGGAACTCGGGTACTCACAGCCGCTCATGATTGCGGTGGAATTAACAGAAGCCTATTAAAATTCAAAAGAAAAGATGGTAATGAACGAAGAGAAAGAGAGTCTCCTCGCTATGGAAGGCAAGCACGCTTTAAGAGAGAGTGCCGTTGGGAGGAATGTTGGTTGAGAGATGGTTGATGGTTCTGAGAGAAGGAAGAAGGGAAGACGTTCAGGAGAGTTCGGGGTTTTTTTAGTTGGAGGCAGAGAGTTGAGGCCACATCTCTCTGGCTGGGTCCAACCCGCTAGCCCCTTGTCATCCCCATCCACACAACGCCGCCTCACTCACTCGCTCGCTCACTCACCTACAACCGAAATAAGATTCCCTCCTTGCGGTGACCGGCATTAGCAGTTCCAGAACAACAACACATCTTCTGATGGTTTCTTTCCCCACAGCAGGTAGATGTGGCCTGAATTGGTGGGGCCTTGGTTGATTGGACAGGTGCGCCTCTTACTACATGTAGAGCACCTCCCCGTCTTCTTCCTGTGTTTCTCTTTTTCTTTCTTTCAATTTCTACCTGAATCGATTCGAAATCAACCCAGGCACAGGAGGAGAAGAATAAGCTTATTTATGTTCACCACGGGTATCACATTCAATTTTCATTAATCGCTCTTGGTGATCATTAACGTCGACATATAGCTCCGCCACGTGACCTCCACTTTCACCTTCACCAAGCTCTCTACCTAATCTAAATCTAAGTGCGATAGTCTCCGTTCTTGACCCGAATGTTAGCTCTCCGTCCTGGATATCTGAATTGTATGATATCTTGCTATCATCTACAAGGAGTACAAGTGTCACTAGGGGAAAACTTACAATCGTGACATACCTACAAATGCGCATCTGTCAGCAACGATCCTAACCAACGAAGGAAAGACACAATATCCTTAAATCAGGGTTAGGGTTCAACTTACTCATGCGAGAAGTCGCACGTGTAATATGCCGCCTCACCACCCTTGCCAGTTCCCAACGAAACCCTAATCTCAAGATCTTCCATGGCTAAGATCTCGCTCGCCCTCTCCTCATCCACATTCTCTGGCTCTCCGTTAACAAGGAGCTTCAATTCAGGCGAGCCATCAGTCGGGATGAAAGACACATTGGTCTTCTCCGGAACGATTCCATCGATACCAGAGTATCCAGTCGCACACAAAATTCTACCCCAGTTAGCATCTCGCCCATAGAGGGCTGTCTTTACTAAAGGAGATCTAGCGATGGTTGATGCGACCTGTTTCGCATCTGCAAAGTTGTTTGCATCCTTCACACTGACGGTCACGAACTTTGTCGCGCCTTCTCCGTCACGGACAACCAGCTTGCTAAGCTCTTCGGCAAACTCCGTTACGACCGCTCTGAGGACGGCTTCGGCTTCAGTTCCTGCCTCTACGGTCTTGCCACCTGCAGCGCCGTTGGCAAGGAGAGCGACAGTATCGTTGGTACTCATGTCACCGTCTACAGAGATGGCATTGAACGAGCGTTCAACGGCGTGGGTGAGGATGTTCTGGAGAGCCTCTGGGGAGACGGGGGCGTCTGTGGCCATGAATCCAAGGAGAGTGGCCATGTTGGGATGGATCATACCAGCTCCCTTAGCCATTCCAGCGATCTTGTAGGTTGTTGAGGATCCAGGGAAAGTGAAGCTCTTGGAGCAAAGCTTGGGGAAGGTGTCTGTTGTGCAAATGGCCTTCGCGGTATTAAGCCAGGCCTCGTGAGATTGTGCAAGGATTTTATAGGCTTCCGGGATTCCGTCAAGAATCTTTTTAATCGGGAGCCTTTGTCAATCCTAGAAATTAGCCTTCTATATCATACTAAAGCTCAGATCTACAATATCGCACCTTTGTCCAATAACACCAGTGCTCATGACCAAAGTACTGCTCTCCTCTTCTCCCACCAGCTTGTCAACTCCCTTCCCCATAGCCAACGCATCCTCCATTCCGCCCTTTCCGGTGACGGCATTTGCACATCCGCTGTTAGCCACAAGCCCTCTAATCCCATAACCCTTTCGCTTGTCCAACATTTCCCTACCCATGACCACAGGTGCCGCTTTGAAGACATTCTTCGTGAAAACCGCAGCGGCGCTGCACGGCAACTCGGAAGTCACAAGCGCAAGGTCAAGGCTCTTCCCATCTTTCTTCACTCCGCAGTGAATACCACCAACGTTGAACCCCTGTGGGTAACTACCACTCTGAGGGACGTATTTCCACTTCGCATTTGGCGCGGGCCCAGTTGCGTAGCCACGAGTAGTCATGAAAGCGACACCGCGAGTGGGGAGCCTCGAAGAGAGTCTAGAAAGCATTGTGACTTCGTAGAGGGTCAATTGGTAGGTGTAGGATAAGTCCTATGGTGTGGAGGCGAGAGTGAAGCAATGAGGGGTCGTGTGAGTCGTATCTACAGGTGGGGGTAGAGCTTTTTTATCTACGCAGAGCCGCTTGACCTGGGTTGCAGGGAAAATTTCGTGTGGTGGGTTTGTACTACAGCAAATGGACAGCTTTAGCTTTACAGGGGGGTATCAGGCGAGTTCCCGGGCTATATATTTCGCTTGGAGATCCTACTCATGTAAACGGATGGGAATTACGAGATCTTGGGATTAATCCCAAGATCTAGAGCTGGAGGGTGTTGCATAGGGTTAGGGGTTTCGGAGGTGTTGTGTGGGGGGCATGAGAGACAATCTTTGATTGTAAGGTGAAAGACTATCGAGCTCTTTAAGCTCTTTAAGCTCTTTGAAGTTTTCTCTCGTAATTCTGAAAAATACACATATTTGATTAACCCGTCGTGTGAATCATACATGCCTATTCGTGGTGTATGTTTCCCTCACCGGCTATCACTCGAACTTGCCTAAACCTGTTTAGGAATAATCGTTGTATTAGAAACGAAACTCCAAATAATTTATATTTATGGCTGATATGTTTCTTATCCATCTGTACAAGCCGTGACCTGCCTACTGAGCCGACCACAAACACCTCCAATATCAACTTAAAACTCTAGGAAAGGTACCACTCCATGTAATGATTCAACAATTGCCAAGACACGTAGACTTGGCATATCTCACCATGTTTTCAGAGTAGTTACGATTATCAGTAAAAGGTTTTTAAAGTAAAGGGGGAAATGGAGTGATTCTCTATTATATTGTCAATTGTTTGGACATCGGTATGTGGGACTCGGGTCTGCAAGGCTTTTGATAGGGTTTCAGGTCCTACAGTTCCACTTAAACAACAACGGTTTCCAGGGCACTCAAAGCTAGACACCCTGGTTAGTCCGCACCACGACCATACCTACGTGGGTAAGTTTACTGTGAGACAAGGTCGTCATGAAAAGGAAACGGTCGTCCAACTCTGCCTCTCCTGGTGCAGCCGCAAAATCCTCTTCCACCTCAGAGCTTCCTACCACAGCGTCTTCGAGCATTCCTACGCAGCCGCCTCAACGCCCAGAGACCACCGGGAAACACCGTTCTCACACCCTAACCAGTGCGCCCAACAGGGCTAGCCCCAGAATTGGCACAAAAGGAACCAGCTTAGGATCTGAAACTATCATGTCTTCATCCCCTCTGAAGCGCGCTGCTCCAGCACGAACACCTCGACGCGATAATTCCAGCAATCCCAACTCTGTTCGTTTCGTGGAGAACGCAATCTCGCCCCCTTCAGTTGTCACAAATGCAGACCGATCAGCTCGGAAAAAGAGTGCGCGACAGATCGTTGCCCGTGTAGTAGCTGGGGACTCTAGCGAGGACGAGGAGGACGAGCTTGTTCGACGGATCTACGCAGATTCTGAAGACGACGAGGACGATGACGGACCACTCCCAGAAACTACCGACGAAGCTGGAGCAAAGAAAGGGAAACCTCGGGGAAGGAAAAGGAAGCCAAAAGAACCAGAGCCACCCCCACCAACTGAGGGTTTCGAGTCGTATTTTGGGCAAAACAAGAAAGCGCGACAAATAACTTCAAATAGCACTCTCGCGTCCCTCGCCCCTCTAGATCATGGACGTTACTTCCAGCTGATCAGGGAACACGTCCCCGACCATGTTGAGGATCGACTGTACCTCGCGGAGCTCCACAAGAAATCCTTCGAGCAATGGCAATTCGAGCTCTCTCAAGGTTTCAACATCCTTCTATATGGCTACGGCTCAAAGCGTAAACTAGTGATGGAGTTTGCAAAACAAATATATACAAACCCTTCGTCCCTCGTTGTGGTAAACGGATACGTTCCTACTCTTACGGTCAAAGACATCCTATCCTCCATTGCAAACGCCATTCTCGGCCAGGGCCATAACGTCAAGCTCGGCTCCAATCCTAACGAGATGCTCGATAATGTGATCGCCATTCTCGACTCGGATGAGGTCTCAAAGCTCACGCTGATAATTCACAACCTTGATGGTGAATCAATCCGAGGGGAACGCTCCCAAGTCCTCATCGCTCGTCTCTGTTCGCACACAAAAATCTCTCTTGTAGCTACGATTGACCACCTCCGCGCTCCTTTACTCTGGGATGCTGCCCGTGCTTCACAATATAACTTCCTATGGCACGACGCGACAACATTCGCGCCATATGCTGTTGAGTCTTCAATTGATGAATCCCTTGCCCTTATTGGCGGTTCCAAGAGAGCAGGTGGAACAAAGGGTGCTAAGCACGTTTTGTCATCACTGAATATGAATGCAAGGAGTCTTTTTAGAGTTCTTATTAGTCATCAGCTCGAAGCTATGATGGATGATCCTATGGCGGGTCAAGGAGGAGCTAATGAGGAATGGGGAATTGAGTACAGGGTGTTTTATCAGAAGGCTGTGGAAGAGTTCCTTTGCAGTAACGATATGGCGTTTAAAACGTTATTGAAGGAGTACGTGTCTCCTTGTCTATTGATTTTGTGCGCAAATTACTAACCTTCTCCCCAGGTTTCAAGATCATCAAATGATCGTCTCCAAGAAAGACTCGCAAGGAACAGAGGTTATGTGGGCACCTTTTGAGAAAGAGGAACTCGAATCCATCTTAGAAGATTTAGTCGCATAATGGTATTCGATCCGCGATGATCTGTTTGTTTCCTTTATCTCGATCTTTATTTGTTTATCAACAGCAAAAGGACTTAGTGATGTAATAATTCAGGAAGGAGTTAGCTGCATTTTACGATTTTCCAGAGAAATGGCTCTGTATTATATTTTACCTTTTATTTACGTATGTTTGCACATGTGGCATCATCTTGTCCGGTATACCTTTATAATAAGGACGCAATCGAAAACATAATGATGACTACAATTAGCAAATCTTTCCAATTACTAATGACTCATATTTGTTCTACTCTACCATGTCCAAAGAAACTACCTGGGATGGGGGAAGATCTCGTGCTCCTAATCTATCCTATAGTTTTGGGGGACAGCCCTAGCTAAACAGCCGTTGCCTAAGTAATCAGATTAGGGAGGATATTACAAAAATGTATGATGATACAATATCGAAGACTTAAGCCAATAACTTGACTATTCCGCCTTTTGGGTTTGTCATGTCGCCCGGGTGGATGGATTGCGAGTGTTAAGATATGATCGATCTCACAGGCCACGGTAGACGCTCTCCTAGTAAACCCATGCATGGTCTATATAGAGGGGGTTGTTCTCCAATGTTCTCAGGACACATTCCAGTAATATGCTCCAACAAGCCATGCTATTGGTGCAGCTAGTGTTAGAGGTCGCATGGCTGATGATGGCTTAGAGGGTCGATGGAAGACGAGTTGTGTAGGTAATTTCTTGGTATTTTGATCTGTATGGGTCCTTTCATCCCTGGTTAGTGCTTGTAGGTGCCCGGCTATAGAGGTTCGGGAAACTTTGATGGGGTAAACTTAGGTATGCAGTTAGTTTGGCGCTAGAATACGTACATGTAGTTGGGCACACTTAGGATTTGATAGATACAGTGGGTATTCAGTGCTACGTTTGCTCATGAGTCGTATTTGGTTGTTGTTCTGGTTGTGTCATCTAGTTGTGTGGTTGGATATAGTTCTGCGCTGCCAGAAATCAATGTCAAGTGTTATGCCATGTTACCATGGCCTAAGGATAATAAACATTAGCCATTCCGCTAGGCCTTCAATTATTGTCAAGCTAGCTAGATTATCTTATGTACATGTATGTAGAGCTTTCTTAAATAAAGTGCAAAAAATACTACTCTAAGCATCTGAATAACCAAAGACCCAGTTGCCTTTAGAGCCGGGGCCAAAAACCAGCGAGCACGAGTGTTATACCTGGAATATTGTAATAATTTCGATCACAAGATATCACTCGCATAGAAATGAGTCTTTTGTTCCTAGTACGATAGAAGAGTCAGCAAAAACTATTGTAGGCTTAAGTTCTGCGGTTTTAGACCAACCATGATCAAAGATGTTCTCGCCTTGGCTTGTTGTAGTAGGTGTCCTAGTGCCTAAGCGTGAAATATTTCATAATCAAGGCGGGTTCCGGGACAGTGATCAGAGTTGCTTCTTTGTCAACTCACAGAATATCACTCGGGGGATACACCTTTCTCCTTCTTTTTTTTCTCTTTTTTTCTTTTTGTTTAATTCATTAATTACCTCTCTCCTTCTTTTCCCTCATGGCTAAGGTACTACCTCACCCGGGCATTGTCTAATAAGGAAATACTATATATACCAGCCCAGAATCACACATATACGTACATATCTCCGTCCGCATTCCAGTCTCGATGGATACATATATTTGCGAAGGCATGGGTTATAAGTCTATGCTAGCACTGATAATTAGACAAACTTTCTTGTTACCACAGAAATTATCTGACAACAGATCAGTCAACCTGTCAATAGTCTACCCTGTTAGTCAATCTATAGCAGTAGAAAAATTTAGAATCGGGAGCCTGTTAGCTCTAAGATTCCTTGAATGCAAAACCCGTCGATGGGATCCGGAATCCTACGCCTACAGACGAGTTAATTTGGGCTCATTGGGTGGTTCGGTGATATCTCGTCATAAACCGCATATAGACACGTTTCTATTCCTCCTTATCAGCTGCTGATATCTAGGGGTCATTGACTGATTGGTGGCTATGAACGATGGGATATCTTATTGGCGAATGACGTGTTGGCAACCGGAACGGAGTACAAGAGGATGAATGGTATGGTAGTGATATTGGGGATAAGGACAGGTGAGATAAGTAAGGGGTAATTCATTATTGCTGGTTTAATCCATTATCTCAATGTTGCCAAAAAAAAAAATACCAATGACGAACAGCAAGTGTAACGAATTAAAAGACTTCTACCAAATGAAGATTCGTCGCCACAATGTGCTGGCTAGGCAAACAATCATGAAAATAGAGCATACTAATGTTGAATTTTCCCTCCTACCAGCGGAGATCCATGAATGGGCTTGAAACGCTTGCTTTAATCACCCTCTGTTCGATCCTCACACCTCATCCTTGGGTGCATCATTGCCGTTTGATTCTTTGATTACGACTCATTCACAAAATATCACTCGGATATTGCATCAGCTACATACAACGTTGATCATTATTCTTTGATTTCGAAAATAGCCTTAAAATGCACATAGGAAATGCATGTGGTGCGGGAAGATCCGATGTATGAGATCATTAACATCTGTTAATGGCCGCTGTAGGGTTTTTGGATCTGACAACAAAACTCCACCATGTACTAGAATCGATGTCCACCAAAAGAAAAGATTATAAAAAAATATCACCAAACCATTGAAGCACCAAATGTTTGTTCAGGACGCCATTAGATTTCTAGTTCCTTTCGGGTATGTTGCTTTCGAAACATGGCACTTTTCTGTTATTTGGTAGCCATGCAACTTTCTCCCTTTTTTTTATTTTCAGACCCAAACCCCCGGGAAAGAAAAAAAAGAAAAAACAACCTGTCCCACAAAAAAAAAAAAAGAAATAGAACTAGAAATCGTAAAAAAACACCAACCAACCCAACTTTTAACCAACCGTTTATTCCTTGGTCTTTTGGGTACCGCGCAGCAGACCAGTACGACGGGCGGCAATAACTAAAGAAATTTAAACTTAGTAAGGGGCCTAGCTTCAAAATCCGAACAATTGTCATTCTGGGATACTTACGACCAGCCTTTTGACCCTGGGAAGCGTAACGGGAGATTGTAGAAGCCTTTCCGATGTGCTGATGGTTACCTCCTCCGTGGGGATGGTCGACGGGGTTCATGGCCACACCACGAGTTCTGGGCCAGCTGTTCCTCTTGACCTTGTACTTCAACTTGGCGCGCGAAGCCTTAAGCAAAGGCTTGTCGGTTCTTCCACCACCAGCAACAATACCGATCATACCACGGGCAGCGCTGGGAACGACCTTCTTGGCGCCTGAGGGAAGCTTGATACGGGTCTTGCCCTCATCGGGGGAGTGTCCGATGATGGTGACGTAGTTTCCGGAGGTACGACCGATCGCACCACGGTCACCGGTCTTCTCCTCAACGTTGGTAACGACGGTACCTTCGGGCATGGAGCCGAGGGGGAGAACGTTTCCGATGTTGATGGCGGCCTTCTTTCCGGCGTAGATGAACTGACCGGTGTACATGCCCTCGTTGGCGATGAAACTGTGAATTCCCATAACCCGTCAGCCCAAATACCCCACCAAACAACCAAAGCTTCCACCAAACAGCTCCAAGCCAAGAATCTCGAATGGGAAGTCGTACGTCTCATGGCGGAGCTTGTAGCGGTAAGGGTCGCGGAAGACGACCTTGGCAAGAGGAGCACCTCTACCAGGGTCGTGGATGATGTCCTTTACGACACCGCGAATGTATCCATGACGCTCGGAGTAGTCGAGGGTTCTGAATTTGGCAGGGTTCTGGAAATTGCATTGAAAGCCTCAGTCAGCGGGCTTTCCTCTAAACCAACCACAAAACCACTGGATATCAAAAACCGACCTTTCGCAGCCTGGTGTTGGCCGTGAAGATGGAACCGGCACCCTTTCTCTGATTGCGAATAACTCTATAATCCCGGCCCCGTTAACAATTCGAATTCCCAATTTGTAGACCGTGACGTGAACTTGCCTTCCCATTGTGATCGATGGTTACTAGAGTTTTTGGTGGTGGTGCTGCTGTTGCTTTGTTGTCGTCGACGTCTGTTCGGTGTACCGGGAAAGATTTACTAAAGTTGTGTGTGTGTGTGTGGCTTGGCCCGATTTGGAATTTCCGGGCCAGGGTTGAGCCCTAAGCAGTCCCATGCAACAACCAAGTATGCACGAGTGATAGATTATGATGGAAACAACACCAAAAGGTTGTCGAGAAGTTCGAAAATCGAACAGCGTATATATTGCGGCCAAAAGACTTGAATAACTTGAGCAGAGATATTCCTGTGGATTAGGCCGCTTATTAATTTTATGTTCTTCTAAAGCAACTACAACGGATCATCTATTCCAACATGACCCTCGACGTTGTAACTTTATAGGATCGATCCTTTCTAACTGAATAGATCGATATCGACTAATTGATACTTTATTTGAGTAACCGAGGCTCTGAATCTCTACACAGATGGCTATAAAGGTATTTACCTCGAACTACATGACAAACAGGTAACCAGGGAGCTCCCTTAGTCTAATATGTGCACTAAGCTACTATATTCAACAGTACATGTACCGACTTGTAGTACAGCTGCACAGACCGCTACTGCAACTTTACTAAGCGGGGTATTTATATTACATGGCGGCTATCTACATTCATAAATTTGCAGCTGTACGCTCCTTGTATGACTAGAACTGTTTTGTTTTTTCAAAGAACTAACTAGAGCTATATATTTAGCTAGAATCGTATTTCTATATTACCATGGGATATCTCACATGTGGCTTCCTCCCCTAAATCCTCACCTGGAAAACTTTGTGTTATATTAGTACTAATATTGCTACCAGGTAACCATTGCAATTGTAATAGAAGAGTACTTGAACCTTGTGAATACTACATCAAAACACGTGCACGTGAATACATTATATGTACATGTATATACGTATAATCGGGGATCTAGCTATCTAATAAGTATATAATTATAACCTGCATATGCAATGTACATTTAAAAGCTTTTGATTGGCTCATTGAGAGAGGTTTTTGTTTCACTTGAAACATGTTGTGTTGGATATGAACATAGGGTATTGTGCTGAGTGGTGTTAGATTGTTAATAGGTTTTCAACTGGTTCTGGGAATCGATTAGTAGTTCGATTTTAGCGGCTTGGTGGCTGTTAAAGGGATACTTGCAGCTTGAACTGTGACCTATCCACTGATATATGGGGGTATCACTGATCAGGAAAGGCACATATCGACCAGAGCAGATATAGTAATGGACCTTGCCTGTATATTGGACTGATTGATCTATATGTAGTACCGGCCGAAGGCCGCAAACCACTTGTAGTTTATATACATATTGATATAAGTATGTACGTCCATCTACGTATTAAAAATTTACTGTTTGATTAAACTAAAGGAACAACCAGAAACATCTCATACAATTGCAGTCTACAAAAGCAACCACATTGTCTGGACTCTAGCCCTCTTATAATTATAAAGTATCAATTACCCGGGGCCAAGCTCAAGCAGTATAAAGAAGGGCAACTGTTTCTGATATAGATGCAGTATGTTCCCAACACATCGATGGTCTAGATCTATTATAATTTACACAGGGTCAAATTCGCGAAGTTAATGGTCGGATTCCCGAGATGCGTGGAAAATTATATATCCGCGAAACTGTCGAGTGGTTTTCTTGGACTACATGTAGACGTGCTCCAATTACAAGCCAGTTCAAGCTAGAAAAGGAATCATGTCCTCACTGAAAGGCCCGCCTTATCATCGTGCCATGATAGGTTTGGTGGAAGTGCAGTAATTTGTCTCAAAATGATCACTAATGATTAATTAGTACATGTACGTAGTGCCACGGTTATCGCCATTGAGAAATCTCTCCAATATGGGAAGAGTGTCGGGGGCAATAACGCCAACAAATGCAATGATGATAACACATGTGAATTGTGAATTTAAGTGTGATCACAAGCGCGTGTAATGTGGTGATAACCGTATAATGCTTAACAGCATATATGCAATCAGGTCGATGGTGATTATCCACATGCACATGCATATGTATATCGCTAGCCTAATTAAGTCTGTAAATTATCTTTTGCATGCATCCAAGTGCACTGAATGCAATATTCGTGGAATCAACCTGTAGGGTTTGAGCCATAATGAAGCTATTGTAAATGTACACAAAACGGGATATCGGCGCGAAGAATTCTGTAGATCCAGAATTCTGTAGTTAAGGCACAGAGCGTATTGTTTTTTTTCCATTCTGGAATCGCTTTGAGACCGATTAACCTTAACCCTGAATGTTCTCCAACATTTCCATGACCAAGATATTGATCAAAGTTAGACGAACCAAACCTACATGTACATGCATGATGTACTTTTAAGACTATTACCCGCTCCTAAGCAAGTTGGTGATCTATATGTAGTTATAAAATATGGTATATCTAAGGAGATACTTCACAATTGTCCCCCTAAAGCTCCAACCAGCCATAATGCCAACCTAACTTTTAGGCTCACTCTTCTTTCCGTCCTCTCAAAGTCTTCCATATCTACTTTGCGTGAATCTTTCTGTAGCCATTCTACTTCCTCGCCGAGTTGTTTCTTCAACCCACCATCTTCCGTAACTATCAATGCGTTTACCTCTAGATCGAGGGAATACGAACGCTTTGTATAGTTTGAAGATCCCACGAGTGTAATACTTGGATTCTCATCTTGAGGTTGAGTCACCCAGATACCTATACGATTTTAGTAACCTCAATGAATATTAAAACTAAGGAAGTCACCTTTTGCGTGATAGGTCCAGGCCTCAGGATCCTTTCCAATGGTTCCCCCCTTCATCCACTCCCGAACATGTATTTGCTCACTCTTGCCCATTTTAATAACGTCTGCTAAGAATCTTCTTGCTAGCAATGTATATGCTGGCGGCAACATGCTACTAACACCCTTACTCCCATAAAATCCATTCGCTTCAGGAGCTGCAGTTACGACGGTGCCTTGGACTGACTTGGATTCTAGCAATAGTTTCTTAAGCTCAGAGTGAATGTTGAAATAGCCCGCCGTGAACATCCATTTTGAAGATGCCCAATCAGGTCTTGAGAGCAACCGTAGGACCGCCAAAAGACCTGGGTGCTCAGTCGATATATCTGTTGGGTGCATGAGGGGAGTAAACTGAGCGAGGGGATATACAACTGTTCTATTGGAGGTCTGGGGCAGAGCTATCGCAGGGGCCGCTGGGCGTATGAGAGGTCCGAGGATGGCAGTTGCAGAAACCTTAAATGCAGTTGGATCCTCTGTCGGCCGGGGCGCTGGATTTGAGGCCGGCCATTCTAATGTAAACCCGCCAACGTCTATCGATGCAGGTAAAACCTTGTAACTGATTGAACATATCGCGTGGTGAATACCGGCAAAGTAGTTTGTTAAATCTTTGGATGAGAAAACGTGGTATCTATCTTGTCGATTCGTGAAGTAGTCGTCTGAGAGATTCGCCCCAGAAATGATAATCTCATCATCGATACCGTAAAGCTTCATGTGCTGAAGTCCCCAACCTTCGTTGAGGCGCTTTGGAACAACCTGTTTCCTCAACCCACGCAGGTTTGGGGTATGGTACATTCTAATCTCAACACGGTCTCCAAATTCCTCAATCAATGGGGCAAGAAGGGAAGCGCATGAGGCTTTTGGTGCCTCTCTGGTGCCACGGAGGGCATCAGATAGTATTGAAACTTGGAGGTTTGGTTGGCTGCGGAGCGCTTGTCGAAGTGTATCAATCTAAATCCCCTAGATTCAATTGCAAGCCCAATGGTCAAAAGGATGTATATAACATACAAGCTCATTCTCAGTTTTTCCTATATAAAGCGTACTAAGAAATATTCTCCTTTCCGCTTTCAATATACGTTCCTATTCATTCACCCCAATACTCTCAGAACCGCAGCCTCGATCGTTTCCCTTAATACTGGCGCCAAAACTAACAACCAATTACCTTTAACGTCTCGTAAAACTCGGCTGGGGCTCTCAATATCCTAATTTGATTTGCACGAATCTCAAATCTAGGCGCAAGCTTATCCAATTCCCCGGTGAGGATACCCAACATCGAGGTTGTGTGAGCTGTTGTACCGTTGTGTGAAGGTGGGGGGGATGAGGATGCAAAGTTCCGTTTTGCACACGAGAAGCATAAGCGCGAAGGAGGGGCGGAGGACCGCAATAGAGTGCGTCGGAGGGTTGTAATTATCATGGGGAAAGCTTTACTAATATTAGTGATCCTCGGCGGTTGATTCTGAGACAATCAATTGAGTCGGCCGTCTCCCAACAGGTACTCACTTGTCAAAATTTAAATTCCCGCTGACTAAGCGAGCATGGGGAAACACCCGAAAACTAGAGTAGTCTAACTGCACCACGATGGCAGCAATGCCATGCCCTGGGGTAAATTTGGTGATGAGCAAACGACCTATACAAATGATTTGAGTACTTGCTATCACATGTACGTAGTACTCGAGCATTCTTCAAGTCCTTGCAAGTTTAATGGTACATATGCAATTGCGCAAATCAAATCAACCGAGTTGACAAATCCTTAAAGTCTGAGCCCATATGATATTTATAACTGCTTCTATAGTATGTGCTAAATATCCGCCGATGATATGCCTGAGTAGGTGATATTAAGCCCGGAATCGAGGGAGAGGCCTATTTAATCTTGGAAAAATGTGTACCTACATGTACTCTAGGGAATTTTTTGTGTGAAGGTAATATATCCCAGTCCTGTCTTGTTGCAGTTTTTCAAATCACCCGAAACCTAAGCTATCTAGTGGTTAATTTGAAAACGCTAGTAGGACGTTTCTTTCGAGAGGGTAACTTTAGATCTACAAGAGCGACACATATCGCCCCCCGCGACATCTCGAACACCTCTCCACCCCTGCAAAACTCTCCACTCCCTAGGTTGTTTCGCCTCTTACTTTCATTTGTTTAACAAATAGCTTACGGAATTACTTGAACAGTTGCATAAATATGTCGACAATTTCCAGGACTTTGAGGTACCTTAAGCGGATAGGTTTTAAGCAGTATGCTTACCAGATGAATGTATGTGTCTCCCCAGGTACACTCCCGGGAATTACTGCAACCTTTGAAATGCTGATGCTAGTGGAATTTCTTGCTAATTGGTGGCATAGCGCATTGGTTGGTCATCGCCTATACAATGGATACGCACATAGATTGATAATATACTAGGTGACACCAAGTACGGTGCTCTTGTTGGTACCGATAAATACGGCAATAAGTATTATGAGAACAACACCGAGGAGCTTCCCTGTGAGTTTGCTTAGAGAATACACAGATAGTTTGGCACCACTCGGGATATACTAATGAGATTTCTGGCGACAGTGAGAACCAAGTGGGTTGACTACAAAGAATGGAAGGAATACGATGCGTAAGAGTTCCTGCTGAATCATGTCATCGAAACGTATTGACATTATGTATAGGTCCATGGTTGAGCCCGGCTGGTAAGAAACACTATTCATAAACGATCACTCGACAGTTACTATTGCGCGTCACATAATATCCCGCTTTACGGCCCGAATTTGACACTTAGATATACAGGCACGGATGGCTCGCATATATGTTCGACAAGCCTCCCACCTCCGAACCGATTATGAAACATGATGTTAGGCCCTGGGAACCTAAGGAGCATATTCCGAACCAGACATTCAGCCGTGCTGCTTACAAGCCATACTCTACGTGAGTTGAGATTTGCCTTCTAGATTGGAATATTTTTCTGATAAGTTATAGGACCAAACCGAAAATTTCGTCTTGGGATGCAATTGCCAGACCAAGAGTTTAACAACTTGGTCATAAATGACTTAGATAGTTGGTACTGGGGATGTATGAGAATTCTTTTCAATTTTTTCAATTTTCCTGCTGGTAAATATCCATAGAACATGCGTGCGAGGTTGTTGACGCTGGTAGATATTGAATTTCATATTATGCTTGAACTGTTATGATGAGCCGGATTCGTAATCGGAGAGTGGCCATTTCTTGATCGTCCTGAGTGGTGGTGCATTGTAATACTGTGCTATGAGCTTTAACTGTAGAGTGCATGTATGCTCTGAGTTTTACGGGTCGATCTCAAATCCCTTGCCTGCTGCTTCCTGCATGTGGTCTGTTTTGTGTTTACAGTCGCAACTCGATATGCCGGAACTCAATGCACCGGATCCCTTGCTGTCCCGTACGAGATCCTCTAAAAGTATTATTTTTCCTACTGCAAAATCAATTTGCTATCCCGGATTTTTTGCAATCCCATGCGAAATCCTTAGATCTTGGCAATCTGGCATATCGAGTTGCGACTGTGCGTAAAGAGCTACATCTTACAGTCATCAAACTTTGCTGGTTGCAATTGGTGTGGTACATATATTAAAAAGTATTATTGCTGCATTGACCATGCACACAAAGTTTCCATAATGGTTGAGAATAAAGGCCGGGATGCTCCCTTCTACTCTACCGAAAACTGGAGATTGATCTTCTGTGCATTGAATCTTGCATTGTCGTCAAGAATATTTTTGCAGAATTAATATCAGGGTCCCTTCTCTGTGAAATTGAAGTTTAACCTAAAACCTTTTTGCGTGGTATCTATGCAGGTCCTTCGATGCAAGATGTTCTAGAATTTGCTTTTTCTTCCTCCGGCTCAGTGGCGTATCGCAGCCCTGCTTTATGCCCGGAAGGTGACGTCTATTGCCGGTAACCCCAATAAATGCAAGGATAGATCAACGAAGCCCACGCTAACGCTTGTTATCGTCAGCCGCTAAGGCACGAGCGGGAAGTCTCAGTGATTGGCATCCTGGGAGAACACACCGAGGTAGTTAAAGTAAAAGCTGTAAAGCAGCAAAGACTTTCCTGAATTTGAACTCTCTTTGTCTGTTCATCCGACCCGCGACAGCAAGGAGACTTTCGCTTCAAGAGCTACATACACCCTGCATGGACACATACGTACATGTACCCAGCTCTATGTGCATCTGCTTCTTGCTTTATTAGATCGGTTGATTGGCTATATTGTTGCATTCACCTCTGTGCTGCACTGTGTACCCAAAAGGATTTTGTGTCACCGGATCCTGTAGCATCAACGCTCATCTTATCACAAAATCCACTCTTACCCTTTATCAGGGTCACTCACCATCTTCTCCCACTCAATTGACCATATTTCTCCCCAAACCCAGTGTCAAAATAACTCTAGGCTTTATTTCACACTTTAACCTCGACGGACTCTGGATTACCTCTCTTCAACGAATTCTAACCAGTCGATTGGCCCTAGAGTTTTACTCTTTGGTCGCGCGGCCGGAACGGCATGCATCCCAATTTCTTACAATGTGAACGTCCCTTCTGGAGAGGGGACGACTTCACAACTTGTATACGTAGGGAGTAAGCTCGGCCCTGTAAAGACCTGCTGGCTGTTTGAGCAGTTGCCTAGGCATGAAGTGACTGACAATCCATCAAAAACAGCCTCATACAGGTTCTCCTACCGTCTCTCGTCGTCGGCCTATCCATGTTATGGCTGACCGCATCTCTTGTACACCGCTTCATCTCCGGGGGGCGCTCGAAGGGGTATCGAAAGCTTCCTACTCATCAAAACGCGTTAGGAGTAGCGGCTGTCGATGATGGCGACTCAACCGACGATGACGATGACGAATTTGCAGAACATCTGAGCTTGAGACACACAATGAGCCATGGTACATTCACCGAAGCGAAGGTCCTGGCCCCGACGGGTGAGGTTGTTTTGGCCGTTTGCGAGGTGCTTGGGGCCTCGGCAATTCTGGGAATTTTTATTGCCGAAATTTTCAAGAGGAACGGTGACATCTGGAACTATGCAGGAATGCCATTCGTTTCAGGAGTTGTGTGCTGGGTGGGTTCAAAAGACGCGCATATTTGGAAAGAACTAAGCTTATGTGGAATAGGGTTATGTTGCTTTACTCACAGCTTTCAGGCTCTGGTTTTCGGTGTCTGGGGGCCGCGATTTGCCATCCCTCTGGGATCACACGGCCCTTATTTACATGTTCAATTTCATCTTCGCCACCGTCGCATTTCGAACTGCTTTGATCCAGCCAGAAATTGGCGTTCACGAAGCCTTTATCATAACACAATTCGTATTGATCACCCTACTATGTATAATCGCTCTTTCTAGTAGGAGGGGTAACAAACCGGTCGAGTTGAAGGTCATTGACGGACTCGAGCCCTCTAAAGAGCCTCTTGCCTCGCTGTTTTCGTTGGCTAGTTTTAGCTGGGTCGATGGGATCGTATGGAAGGGTTATTGGAAACCTTATGAGCTTGAAGAACTTTGGAATCTGAGGGAAGATGATATTGCATACTCAGTTTTAAGTACTTTTAGGCAAACCAAGTATTTAGACCTATGGCACATAACATTCACGATAAGCATATACTGACAAAAATCTAGGAAAGCAAGTTCTCTCGCTATTACTCTACTGAAGCATTTCAAACGGGATCTTGCTATTCAGTCTGCATGGGCTGTATTTGCTTCAGCCTTCACCTTTGCACCTACCCTTCTTCTGCGGGTGATTTTGCAGTATGTTCAGTCTCCGGAAGATACACCAAAGAACGTTGCATGGCTTTTCGTTGTTTTGCTTTTTGTCGCTGCATCTATTTCTGCCATCGGAAATGGTCAAGCTTTGTTCATTGGTCGTAGGATCTGTATCCGGCTTAGGGCCGTGATTATTGGCGAGGTCTACGCAAAAGCACTCCGGAGAAAAGCTGCCGCCGGAGCCGATAAAGAATTGGGGAAAAAGGACGAGAAGAAGAAAAAGAAGAAAGACGGGAAGAAACTCACGGATACTGACGACAAAGATGAGAAGGATAAACATGATGGTGATCAAGCTAATGTTGGCGCCATCATCAACTTAATGGCTGTTGATTCTTTCAAAGTTGCGGAAGTTTGCGCTTATTTGCATTACTTGGTATGTTGTTGACATTATGAGCTGTAGGCGAATTGGACTGACAATAGTAGATTGCTGCTGTTCCTGTTCAAGTAGTTATCGCTATAGCTTTACTTTACCAGATTCTTGGGTGGAGTTCTATTGCCGGCATTGGCGTCATGATTCTTTTGCTCCCTATAAACTACTATATCTCTAGTCAGTTTAGCAAAATTCAGCAAGCAATTATGTCAACTACGGATAAGCGAATTCATACCACGAACGAAGTTCTGCAGAATATCAGAATCATAAAATTCTTTGCCTGGGAAGAGCGCTTTGGGCAAGTCGTGGACGAGTCTCGAACCGCAGAGCTGAAGAACTTGAGAAGACGTTATATATTGTGGGCAGTGGCTGCAACTTCGTGGTACGGATCTCCAATTATAATTACCTTTCTCAGCTTCTTTTGCTATACGGTTATCGAAGGGAAGGATCTCAACGCACCTGTCGCTTTCACGGCATTGTCTCTATTCAATGTTTTACGTGTCCCGCTAGATCAACTCGCAGACATGGTCACAAACGTTTTACAAACCAAGGTCTCCATTGATCGTGTGGAAGATTTTTTGAGTGAAGAGGATACCGAGAAGTACATTCAACTCAAGTCTACAGAGGACGAAGATCCAGATGCTCCGCTCATCGGCTTTAAGGATGCCACATTTACTTGGGGAAGCAAAAATCAGGTCAAAGACAGGGGCGGGATATCGGCTTTCCAGCTGCAGGACCTTAATATTACCTTTATACCGGAGGAGCTTAATATTATTGCGGGACCTACCGGATCTGGAAAGACCTCATTGCTAATGGCTTTGTTGGGAGAGATGACGCGCATAAAAGGGATTGTACGTTTGCCAGGTGCACATAGCCGGGAGGACTTGACACCAGATCCAGAAACCGGGTTGACCGATTCCGTGGCTTATTGCGCCCAACAAGCGTGAGTTAATAGATTCTCAATCCTAGTTCATCACAAGCTGACACAACGAATAGATGGTTGGTGAATGATACAATCAAAAATAATATCCTTTTTGCAAGTCCATATGATGAGGAAAGGTATCACGCAGTTCTTATTGCATGCTCATTGGAACGTGACTTTCAGATCTTGGATAATGGTGACGAAACGGAAGTTGGAGAAAAGGGCATCACTCTCTCTGGAGGACAAAAGCAAAGGATTTCACTTGCAAGAGCCCTATATTCAAAGTCTAAACATCTTTTACTCGATGATTGCTTGAGCGCCGTCGACTCTCATACTGCAAAATGGATCTACGACTACTGCATAATGGGGCCCTTGATGCATGCCAGAACATGTATTTTGGTCACTCATAATGTTGCGCTTTGTGTTCCGCTGGCGAAGCATGTCGTGGTTATGGAGAACGGACGCGTTCTGGCGCAAGGCGATCCCGAATCTGTTGTTGCTTCTGGGGCGCTCGGAAACGATGAACTGTTGAAGTCGGGGGTCAAATCGAGGCCTGCCTCCAGGATGCCCTCAAGAGTTCCGTCTTTTATCGGGACTCCGACTGATGGCGGAGATCAGATATCTAAGCCAAAACCTCTGAATGGATCCACAGATCTAGCCGGTAAAAAGGACAAAAAATCAGGAGAAGAAACAAAGCTCGAAGGTAGCGTTGATTGGAAGGTTTATAAACTGTACCTGACTGAGATGGGACCGTGGTGGTATTGGGCTATCGTCTTGTCGATTTTCGGGGCGCAACAAATGGGTACTGTGGCTACCTCTGTCTGGATTCGTCAATGGTCATTAGAGTATGAGACCGAGGCGAATGAAGGTGGCAATTTTACTACGTCTGGTGTAACTCACAGTGCACTTTCTTCCTCATTCGGATATTTTGGAAGTTGCTTTGCATCTGGAAGTTGCTCGTGGGCTTTCCCAACCACAACTTCGCCAAATACTGTTGGAATTACTAGCAGCCAGGGCAAGGTCAATGTATGGTATTACCTCATAGGTTATCTGCTCATTGGTCTTGTATACACCACCATGTCCTTCATCAGGGAGGCCGTTGTGTTTTATGGTTCCTTGAGGGCGTCGAAGCGAATTCATGAGCGGCTTTTGCATCATATTATGCGTGCAAAATTCAGATTCTTCGATTCTACCCCGTTAGGGAGGATTATCAACAGGTTTTCCAAGGATGTGGAGGCCATTGATCAGGAGGTGGCGCCTGTTGCTTTGGTGAGTTTTTGTTGGTATTATTAGCTGTGAACCCTCAACTGATCATTTTAGGGTATGGTTCATTCATTGGCCTCTGTTATTGCAATTGTAATTTTGATCTCGGTCATTACTCCTGGTTTCCTCGGTGCAGGCGTGATCATCAGCATGCTGTATTGGTTGATTGGGGCGTTCTATCTCCGCGCATCAAGAGATTTGAAGCGTATTGAATCAATCCAACGCAGCCCTCTGTATCAACATTTCGGCGAAACATTGACAGGTGTCGCTACTATTCGAGCATACGGTGACGAGCGGCGATTTGTAAGAGAGAATCTCAACAAGATCGATGCACACAACAGACCGTTCTTCTTCCTCTGGGCCTGCAATCGTTGGCTCGGGTTTAGGGTCGATATCGCAGGTGCTTTGGTTTCGTTCTTTGCGGGTGTGTTTGTGGTTTCTAGCGTGGGCAAGATTGATGCTGGGTTGGCGGGTCTTTCGTTGACCTATGCCATCACTTTCACGGACAACGTTTTATGGGTGGTTAGACTCTACGCTATGAATGAACAGAATATGAATTCGTAAGTCCTAAATAAAATAGCTCATTAGCGAGCGGTATTGATGTTAACTATTCCACAGGGTTGAACGAATTAGGGAATACCTAGAGGTTGAGCAGGAGGCCGCTGAGATTATTCCAGAAAACAGACCTTACACTAATTGGCCAGAAAGTGGCTCTGTAACATTTAGCGATTATTCAACACGTTACCGTCCCGACCTTGACCCAGTTCTTAAACACGTCAGCTTCGAGATCAAGCCATTTGAAAAGGTTGGCATCGTTGGTAGAACCGGGGCTGGGAAGAGCTCGCTCGCACTTGCACTATTCAGAAGCTTGGAAGCCGAAACAGGAAAAATCATCATTGATGGAATAGATATCAGCAAAATTGGACTTCGAGACCTGCGCCAGTCGATTACTATGGTGCCACAGGACCCAACACTCTTTACCGGCACGATTAGAAGCAACCTCGATCCCTTTGGAGTTTACACAGATGGCGAAATATTTAGGGCGTTAAAGAGAGTGCAATTGATTAATGAAGAGCCCGAGGTTGCAGCACCAGTTGCTGGAGATGATGCATCGATCAACAAAAACATCTTTCTCGACCTTCAGAGTGCAGTTGCAGAGTCTGGTAACAACCTTTCACAGGGACAAAAGTAAGATTCTTCTGCATTAGTCTCCTTGAGGGACCCGCGGTGTTGACTTTGATTTAGGCAATTATTGTGCCTTGCAAGAGCTCTTTTGAAGGAGCCTAAGGTGCTTCTTATGGATGAAGCAACTGCCTCGATTGATTACACTACCGACACTAAAATTCAGGCTACTATCCGTGAACTTAAAAGCACAACCATCACTATCGCACATCGACTTAACTCTATCATATACTATGATAAAGTTCTCGTGCTAGATCAAGGAGAGGTCCGCGAGTACGATCATCCGCACAATTTATTGAAAAACCCAGACAGTATTTTCAGAGAAATGTGCGAATCTAGTGGCGAGCTGACTCTGTTGGAGGATATGGCTAAGAAGGCATATATGGGCACTAGTACACTTGTGGAGACTGCCGAAGAGTAGGGTTGAGAACATCACTAGTCATGGATAAGGAGATAATGTTCGAAGGATTGTATGATGGTATGATAAGAGGTTTTTGTGTCTTTGTTTAATCACCTTTTGTGTATAATTATTACGCTTCTATTGTGTTCTTTACTACCAGTTGCCTCTCGAAATGCATAGGAGTAATTTTTCGGTTTGGTATCGTTTTTATGTGGCCTGTAGGCAAGGTCAAGTACCTACATGTATCTACCTGTTTTGGGGGGAGGAGGTGGATGCCTCTGTGATTAGGTTAGAACCTATTCGAGGCGGCATTCGATATTCATGAGTCTTGTTCTTACCTAACTGGTAGTTGACAGTTACATATATTTCAATGAGATTACAACACCATGCGGGGATACCTTGAAAAAAGAAGAAAGAAAACATGCAGTTTTTAACGATATGTGTAAGTTTAGCCCGCGTGAGGACCCATCGCATGCAGATGGATAGTAGTCTTGTTCATCCAGGCCACTATCTGCCTATTGGATGATATGGGGTCTGGGCTTAATAGTTTCCCGACGGTTTGTGTCCGAAACTCTAAATCTTGATAACCATGTATGATCGTAATGGTTTAGGACATGAGATTCTGCACCACATTTCCGGTTGATACTCCTGAATATCTCACGGCTAGAGTAGATGGGTCAGCCGTTGCTACTATATATGTAGCTATTGAGTTCATGGTAGTATTGATCAGGTTGCAATCTCCAGTGTTCTCCCAATAAGTATATATTACCCCTAGATTAGGGAATGAGACGGAACGAGAGGATCATACTCTGGAGGGCTTGTTTAGCCCTAGGAGCCATGATTGAACGGCCATGCAGCTGGGTGTGTTGCGGTACTTCGCTCTTTCCGATTTGGCCGGTACATGTAGGTACATGTACAGCGGTGGGTAATAAGTCATCAGACGGAACGCCACCAAAATACGCATTTGCAGGCAAAATTGTGGCTAGGTCGTCCGATGACTTATTACCCACCGCTGTAGTTTAAAGGTCTGGGGTAGGTATATTATACTTATTAACGCAATGGATATTGCGGCAATACGAAGTGATAGTGCATTGTTTACAGAAATGCAGTAGTAATACCGCAGTCTGACGGCGTTCTTTCGAGTGCAGTAGTCATTTCACCTGCTTTTATGTACAGTCGCATGCAACAAGTTCTCGCCGTTTTTTGACGGTGAGTCAAACCATAACCACTCCACCATGAACTCTGCAAAATTTTCAAGATATGACAGTGGCAAGTTGTTGTTATTCTCCATAAAATGGGCTGAAATACTGTACAAATAAATAAAGATACAAACTGTCCAGTTAGGAGGAGGATTGGCCTACTGGATGACCAGATTTCAATGCCATAGAGAATTCATGGGAAATGCTCAAGAGTGCACTAAAAAGGCAATGAAGTTATAGACAGAGAACACCTCATCATGATTATGAACCTTTTATCGCTGCACAAGAGGAGTGGTGGGGCATTGTCTCAATCAAAGCTAGATAAATTGCCATTAAGGGTTGAGGCATGTCTCAAAGCCAATGGAGGCCATACTAGATGGTAGTCTCAAAATCATTTTCTTTATATTCTATTTAACTCTACTATGTTTTCTCTATTAAATATCTTCACTTGTAGTTGAGTAATGAGTATTGAGGTTGAGTATTGCATCGTGAACGGTGGGAACTTGATGCATTCGACTGTACTGTACCACATGTACTTATGTAACGGGGGTTTCTTCTAAGAAAAATAGAATAGGATAGAATAGAGACGGCCGTGCAAGATAGACAATCAGGTTGCAAATTATTCAAAGATACTATCGCTAGAACTCAATAATCTTTAAGGGCTCTGCTACCAATAAGAACTTGGTTTTCTTTCTGATGAAGACTGGGAAGAACAGAACTGAAGGGCGAGACTGAACCTGAGTACTTATACTCCGAAGGCCTCTATTCTCTGCTCCTAACCCCTTACTAAATTCCGGTGAAACCTTTCTTCACTCCGGAAACAATACCACCGCTACCCCGTTTTTCTCTAAGCATCAGCAGGTATTTTCCGATGCCCAATGCAACCACCCTTAGTCAAAGCCTTTGTAACATCTGCAGCCTTGATTGTCATACAACCGGAGCCTGCATGAATGAGCTGCCGCTCATATGTAAGCTTAATCATGCTGTAGAGCTTTCGCTTATTGTAGACTTCCCTAGCAATGTCCCTGCTCTTCGCTGGACTTACAATGTTTAGAGAATACAGAGGATCACCGGGCAATCAGAGCTTCACTCTAGCCAGTCTTTTAGTCACTGGTGAGGCATAGACTCGTCAGTCATTGGACGCCTTCCCGTAAGCTATTGAACGTGTTCTATTGCAATAAAGGATGGTTTTCGAATAGACAAGGTTCCCGTAACCATACGGTAATTGATATATTTCCTAAAAATCTAATCAATTATAATCGGTGCCTAATACAAATTAGGTATCGTTAAGCCATCTTTTGGGACTATTTTTCGCGCTAGCAAGGTGTTCTCTCTATTGCAACGGATAGAAAATGGATAGAGTATATCTATCGAATAGACCCCCCCCTCCCTAGGGGGGGTCTATAAGAAACACATAGATCCCCTGTTCTATTCGATAGAACAGCAAAATTTAATCTATCCGGCAATAGAACGCCTGCTATTGCTTACGGGAAGGCGTCCATTGCTCCCGTGAATAGATCTCCTTCCTAGCATCTGAAATGTAGTCACTCTAACAGCTAGTAGCTAACCACACTGCCGGTACTTGCATATCACCATGCAACTGGCTTCTAACAATAACTCTTAGCATATAACCGGGCCCTGTGTGTACTCTTATACTACACAGTTGAAATAGCTCTGTTACAAAAAAGGCGCACTACTTGACAGTTGCTGGAGCTTTTTGGACTGCATGATTTGCCCTATTTGCTGTCCTACAATCTATCAAAGACAAGCATATAATGGATATAAGAGACAAAACGCACTTAAGTTTTCTGCTGCTATGTACCCAAACGGCATCATCTACCATCTTTACAGTCGAGAAGAAGTCAGAAGGAATGACAATCATCTCCTAGAATCTAGTGGCCTACTTGATCGCTGTACACAACATGCCAACAAAACTAATGGGGATGGTTTCTTCTACCTGTATGGAGATCCGACATATCCATCTAGTAGATATCTGCTATCACCATTCGCAAAAGTTGATGACACCACCCTTAACGAGCATATTTTTAATGTGCAGATAGCCAAGACAAGAGAATCTGTTGAGTGGAGGTTTGGTGGTATTCTGAGGCTTTGGTCTTATCTTGATCACCGTTTGGTCAAAAGGTTTATCAGTCTTGTATTGGTTTGGAATACAGGGTGTTGGTTCTTTTGTCAAATGCAAATGTTTGCTTGTACTGGTCTTAGGTTTCAAATTATTTTTCTTGTCTGCCCCCAAGTCTTGAAGAGTATCTATATGTCTAATTTTTCTCCACTGTATCGATAAACCTGTTCAATACTGTCTCAATTTTTCCTACTGTCTCCTGCAATGTTTTAAACTCTTCAACTAATGCATCTGCATGCTGACAGCTATCTCGATTTTGTTGCGAGTCAGAGGAGATTCTTTGCTTTTTCTGCGTAACTCTATCCAACCTTGTGCCCTTCCCTCGTCCTCGCCGTTTTTTAATGCTTTGCTGCTGATGGTTACTTTGCAAACTGTCCAAAGAAACTGTAGAGGTACTAACAAGAGGAGAAACAGCTGAAATCTTTAGTATTTCACCCTCACCGTCCCGCAGCTCATCTGCCCTTCTTTTCTCTCTTGTCCTGCTTCTCTTGTTTTCCTCCGACTTATCCCAGTCATAAGAGATGCATTCAAGCACACACTCCAATGAAGCCTTCACCTCCTCTGTAGCGGAGAACTTTCATTTCTTCTCTGGGTCGTGATGTATTTAAATCAAATTCAATATCTTCCGCCGTATATACTGACCGTCCCTATTGCAGATACCATGTGCTTTTAGGTCCTCTGCCACTGAACTCCACGTCTTCATGACCTCTTTATAGGGCGCACACCAAGGTTTTGCCTTATAGACGGCCCAAACAAGATCTCTAGTCTCGTTCGCATTGGTATTTAGTTGTGACCTGGTAACCTCCCCCTCTTCTAACGGATTGACAAGAGATTCGGAAGGAATTGGAGCTGATAAAGATGCACCAAGTCCATCGGAGGGAATCACAGGTACCGAACATGAAGAATTAGGTACAGACGAGGGGTTAGCATCCTCGAGTATTGGTACTTCCAGGGAAATACCCCTCGAAAATGGATTCCTAACATGCGGCCTCATGGAATCTCAAATGGAACAATAGTAACAGGTAGCGGGCCCAGGGACGGTGGGTATCGGGCAAGGGCAGCAGCGGCAGCAGCCTGAGGACAGTAGAGATAGCGGGCGCGGACAGTACTAGAGGTAACGGGCATGGACAGCAGCAGGTGGTGGGCCCAGAGAACTGGCGGCGTCTCAGCGTCTCGGCGTCTCGGCGTAGAAAGGAATACAGGACCAGCAGGTAGCGGGCCCGGACAGTATGAGCAGCAGCAGCAGCAGTAGGTACCGGGTATGGACACCTTCCGGAACTGTCTCTCGGCGTCTCGGCGCTGCAATAAGCGAAATAATCAGCTGAATTGTATGTAGTTAGTGAATTGCGTTCTTTATAAATTGAGAAATGAACACTCACAGATGGTTTGTTGATGAACCTCGAGAACCAGACTGTATGCTGGATAAGGTGAAGAACTTGAAGGAAATCAGCATACAGAAAAATATATTTTAAATTTTTTTATTAGCTCCATATACATGTGGGGCAACCATTTCGTCATAAAGTATAATGTCAATTGTGCGACCCGCAACAGTCAAAGCCGAACTGTCAATTGTCGTAATCGACAGTTGTCAAATACGCTCTATTATCTATACTATCCGTATATATCTGAAAGAAGTTTTCTTTCTGTAGGCTTGTTTGCTACTAACTGATGCCAGTTTTGGAATAGGACTTGAGACTTACACGTCCGAGTCATATCTCATAGAGTCAAGAGATGACTCGAAATCGGCTTTTGATGTGAGATATGAGCTCTTTGCAGGGAACATACATAAAGGATCTGGATCTGCATACATGATGTCTCAGAAAGGCACAAAAGTGAGTAATAAGTTGGCTGTCTTGGCGTCTCTCGCGCATCTTTAAAGTAGTTCCTATTTTTTCTGTTGCCCCACCAGTCGCCGCCCCGCACAGAAGCGGTAACATCATTCCTCTCATTCCTTCTAACAGCCCAACATCAAATCTACATCACCCCCGAATACAACGTCGGTTTCTTTTCGCAAGAACAACACCTTTTATTGCTAGTTTCGCTTTTTAAATAATTCCTCCAGCAGAAGATCGCAGCAATGGCCCTCAGAGCTCAGGTTAGAAAATTCCCATTGAAATGCCACTGAAACGTTTTCCTTCTTGGCTTGGTTTTAATGAGTGAACGTTGCTGATTCGAAGGTGGTGATTTTGCTTTAGTTCGAGAATTCAAATGAGTACTGCTCTCTCTCGCCAGAATCGTATCGGTGATCTTGGAATGGACAGTTTTTACTTACGGATAATTACAGAGTCGGTGTTTTTGCGACGCTTACAAATTCGTATGCGCTCGTCGCTACAGGAGGATCGATGAACTTCTATAGGTTCGCGCTTATTTCATATACCTGGATGAATATGGGCTAGTAGGGAGAGGGTGGATGGAGGGGCCTGGAGCTGATTTGGGGTTCATTTAGTGTTTTCGAGGCTGAATTGGCGGATATCATTCCTATATGCCACACCACCATCGCCGGAACCAGAATTGTTGGAAGATTGACCGCTGGGTACGCAGTTCCGGAAGAAAGAAAAACCAATACTACCCCAAAGTCCCTTCTAGACAATCTAAGAAGGAATGACGGATTTGTAGGGGACGTGCTAATGCATACCTCCCAGAAACCGAAAAGGACTCTTAGTTCCCACTTCAACAACTGATCAGGAGCTGCAGCATCTCAGGAACTCAATTCCCGAGACAGTGAAAATTCAGCGTATCGAGGAACGGTTATCAGCGCTTGGAAACGTTATCTGTTGTAACGACCACGTCGCCTTGGTCCATCCCGACATTGAGCGCGAGACAGAGGAGATCATTGCGGATATCTTGGGAGTTGAGGTCTTCAGACAGACTATCTCCGGTATGCCTAACTTATACTCGCATAATCCACTGAATTATTCCGCGCCCCCTTGCTTACAGTGAATTGTAGAGAATGTCCTTGTCGGTTCTTACTGTTCCCTCTCCAACCAGGGCGGTATCGTCCACCCTAAGACCTCAATAGAAGATCAAGACGAGCTTTCATCGCTTCTTCAAGTCCCCCTAGTCGCCGGTAGTGTTAACCGCGGTTCCCCCGTCGTCGGCGCAGGAATGGTTGTCAACGACTGGATGGCTGTTACTGGACTTGACACCACTGCGACAGAACTGTCAGTTGTGGAAAGTGTCTTCAAGCTCGGAGAGGGCATGGGACCTGGGAATGTTCAAGGATCACTGAGAGATACTATGGTGGAGACATTTTATTAAAAGGCAGAAAGAAGATGTTTGTGGCTTCCATTCTCCTTTCTCGCTCTTTTACGAATTGGAAACGAACAATATAATTTTTCACCACAGAAATGATTTTTCCCTGTTCTTCATTGGGCTAGTTAGTAATCCATTAGTCAAATAAAACTAGCATAGAAAAGTAGGTGCAATCGCGTACTGCAGTTGGGAAAACCGAACGAGCAACTAAATGTAGGTACTACTTCGGTTTTGCGTACAGTACCACATCTATTTGCTAAGATGATTGATTTGGCTACATGTACTCAGTGTAATATGGTGGCTTCGCTAGTGTTTTTATCCCAGTGTTACCAGAGGTGTGTATCCAAAAAATCACCATAGTGGTGATGTTGATAGATGTCTTCACATCATCACTCACCACTCATCAAGATACGACAACGACAAGATTCGAACTTGCGCGCCCGAAGGCATCCGCTCAACTGTACCAATGTGTCGGTAATAGCAGGCGAACGTGTTAACCACTCCACCACGTTGTCTTGGTATTAGCAGGGTTTGTATCGGTTATCAAGGGTGCGTGCTTTAGTGGATCTTGGAATTAGGAATTCCTGGATCTATGGTGTTCAGGAACCCATTCGAGACGAGTGCAACAATAGCCTGCTCAGTTCTAATGATGGATACCCTGATATTTCAAGGCGTGAATATGAAATAGGGCTAAAACGGATGATGGTTCTCTTTACCCTTAGGTACATGTCGTTGTGATATACCTTACTATTCACTCATGAAATATCACTCGCTCAAGTCAACGTCTTTCACAAATGATGGACCGAATGCAATGCTTGAATCGTAGATCAATACGATTCATGCTATATATATATTAACTCTGCTTGTTGTATCCGTCATTTTCCGTCTAGCTTTAAACGGGGATGGTTGTGATGTGATGAAAGACTTCCTGCGAGGGGGTAGCTGGCACGGATCATCAAGACTTCAGCTCCTGGGAATGAGCCAGAGGGCCTTAAACTGTTCAACATAGGGTATTCAAAACCCAGATTAGATATTATATTCCAAGGTAAATTTCACCCCCAATACTACATTAACCACACAACTTGATGGCATCGTCAAATAAAGCATACGAGCGTAATTCTTCCCAGCCAAACAACCAAATACCCCCATAGAGGAAGCATAGATACGTGAATTGATGTATACATACACATAATCACATAGATTAAAGATATTGGCTTCAGAATTCTATCAAAGAGTAGCCGTAGTTGCTTCAGAGATAGGGAAAGCCTGTTTCGTCGGAGGGCCGGACGGGGTTCATTTAAAGCTCTCCTTCGTTCGTTCTCTCCCCCTAGTGTGCTGTCTCGCCCTATAAGAGACTATCAATCTTATTGAATTAGCGATTAGGACGAGGCAATGATACAAATATAAAAGCACATGTGTGTCCGAACGATTAAACAAGGCCTCGCATAGGGAGCCATAAATTTCGTTCCACGGCGAATCATAGATGAAACCGGGAGTAGAACTTTTTGTTTGGTGAACTGAAGCTACGTACATACCTAGAAAGCCTCATTACGCAACCGGCGAAATACGGATATGTGTATTATTATTGTACAGTTCAGTGGTATCGTGCGTGCCCCATTGAGTAAACCGTGAGAGCGGGGGTCAAGGAGGTGGGTGGTTCGGGGACCACGTTTTAATGCGGGTCGGGCCGCTGCTGCAGCTCTGATCGCCACCAACCCGTTCGTTAGGTGGGTCTTCTGCGAGAAGAGACGACCAGTCTTGAATGGAACGCACTCCGAGGCCAAATACACACCGGCAAGTAAGACCTGCACCTCAAAGAGTGAGTGTTGTCCTATCTCTTTTAGCGATCCTGCCCCCCCGCTGCTATAATTCAATTGGTCACTTTCTCGGGCGTAATCAGATACCCTTAGTCATCATTGGCAATCATGTCTCATTGGGCGGGTTTGCACTGCTGCAAAAACCGTTGGAAATTGGGGGGGATCTCTTTGGCTAAAACAAATGTTATATTGCTCATGTTTGATGGACTTAGGTTGTCAAGATAAAGTCGGAATCACCCACAAATTTCAAAGAGCCTTGGAAAGTAGTCTCTTGGCAGCCGAGTGATGGATTTTGACGCAATGTTCTTGAGACTTAAACATGATGATAATCAAGAGAGGTCTGGAACAACATTTTAATGCCAGCATCTATTTAAAATCTTAGGTAGAATTGTATTTCAAACAAGATAAAAGAGAAGTTGAAATAGTTGAGAATTTATATTGTAGTTTTGGGGTAGAAACAATAAACTTCAATCTAAGAAGCAGTAGTATATTCAGGCCATTTCTACAAAAAGCTTCCCTCAGCTTACCCCCACCATATTAACATTATGAGTAGATGGGGGGTTTCGTTGTTGTTTATTGTAACCATAGGTTTGGACCTGCCATGTCTAAGATTGGCAAGGCACGGGTTATAGGCTGGGTATGACGTGCAATTCTCAAAATTGGGTACGAATTGTCTCTGATTGTAAGGGTGCAAAATCATAGTCTCGACAGAGAGATCTAACTATAAGCTAATCGTTTTTTGTAGACATCGGCCTTCATTAGGGAAGTATATTCATGATGGTTGGAAAGGATGTTAAAGGTTTAAGGGTCCGTCTAGAAAAACCTGTCTATTGTGACGTGACTTTAAACCTTCTCTTACCTTGCGTATATTACATGTAGTAGCCATCTATACGTAGGTAAAATGAACACTTTTACCAATCATATTCTTTGGGGCATTCCTGAGCACACCACAGCACAGGCAAGTTGGACAAATGCAGTAAGCTGGTAGATTTTCAAGCCACGAGATCTATCTGTGTTACTAGGATTACAGTGCCACTGTATGCACGCGATAACCTTCCGCTCCCACTTTATGATCCTTCGTACTCGTATGCCTATCTGATCCTCTAGCCTCCTCTCCCCGCTTTTCGGACAACCACCCAAGCTCAGAAACCTCTTACACACATACACACACAGATAGACACATACACATTTAACACACAAACACCATGCCCCGCTGTGTCCCTTGCGAGCGAGACTTTCATGATGAAGTCGCGCTGAATCAACACCAGATCTACAGCTTAAATCACAAGAATAGGTCCACTCCACGCCAAATACGTAGCCAAAAATCTACCAACGAGGGTATCCCCAAGGATTACAACGGTACTGCTGGCTATGCCAGAAGAACGCAAACACGACCAAGGCCCTCATACGATCCAGCGCCGCACTCGGTCCAGCCTGAGGTAAAATATACCTGCGGACACTGCGATAGTAACTTCAAAAGCAAGCGCGATCTGGAGCAACATTCCTGTAACACCCGTAAGAGAGGTTTCTCTGGCACAGAAAGTCTCACACAGCATGAATCATTTCAGATTGAGCATAAATTCCCATGTGCTTTCTGTTATCCACCCTGCGGCCGCAAATTTGAGACGCTAGAAGCTTTGGATATACATTCTAGGGCCATCGAAGAAAAAATGGAGCTGAATATCGCTCGTCGTACTAAAAACAAGTGGTCGATCATACAAGAGACGCCAGAAGCTATCGAAAAGTTGCGATCAATGATTCACAGCAAAGGATTGCTGGAGAGATCTGGCTATAAGTTGGAGCCACTTACTGAGGAGAGCATCAGTGATCAGAGAAAATGCGTCAATTGTCACGGTTGGTATTATCATCATCTTCAACTCTCAGAGATAAAATCTGACCAATTCTCTTCTTAGAAAAACGCTTCAAATCGAGGGCCAGGTTAAACACCACTTGTAGGTTTCATCCAAAGAAGCCAACGAAGAAGGTAGGTGCAGCCCTCAACTTCGAAGGAAAGTCATGCAATACTAACAAACACAGTTTAATAGAAGGACGGGGGAAAGAGAAATATTGTTTCCTTGTTGTGGTCAACTCGAAGGCCCTGATTGCGAAAAATGTGTTGTCAACGACCAGCACATCTACGAGGATTTCGATACGTTCGCCGAAAAATTGACGATCGTGAAGACGCCCGAACCCTTCCCCGGTATACAGAAACGGAAGGCAGTGGCTCTAGACTGTGAAATGGGGACTTCCTACACAAACAGCAGCGAGCTCATCCAGCTTTGCGTAGTTGACTATTTCACTGGTGAATCATTGATCGACATGCTCGTCCGTCCGAAAGTTCAGTTGCGAAGCTTCAATACCCGGTACAGTGGAGTTACCCGTGAAATGATGGCGCAAGCTATAGCAACCGGGGAGTACTTAGATGGGGTTGAAGGTGCCAGAAATGAACTCTGGAAATGGATTGACAGCACAACAGTCCTTATTGGACATTCTCTTCATTGCGACTTGCGCGAACTACGTCTCGCCCACCCTTTGGTCGTTGATTCTCTTCTATGTGTGCCCAAAATCAACGCTTCAGGAAATGGTTTGAAGACCCTCATAAAGGAACTTTTGGGACAAAAAGTTCAAGATTCGAAGTCGGGACATGATTGCATGGAGGACGCACTTGCGTCTCGTGAACTGGTAATCTGGTGTATTCAAAACGAGGACCGTGTTGCAGAGCGAGCAATTATTTCTCAAAAGGAAGAGGAGATTAGACGTCAAGAGCGGGAAGCTAACAACATCCTAAAAGAAGAAAGGCTGCGTCTCAAGCTCGAACAGGAACAGTTGGATAGCGGTTTAGAGTCATCTCATAGCTCTTCGGCACCTATCCCTGGAGTAGGAGAAACGGGGGAGCATGATTTATCGTACCTGCACAACGCATATCACTCACAAGGCCCAAGTACATGGTGGTAATGAGTGGAAAGTTCATCCATAAACATTCAAACGTATATATAGAAGAATAAAACTTGTATGTAGATAAATGGTTTTAGACTAGCTGATATTACACAGGAGCATCGTCGAGTGAGAAGTGATGAGTGAGAAAAATGGGGGAAGCTGGGATTAAATATTTACGGCTCTGAATGAATTCCTCTTTAATTACTGCCAGAGGTAAGTAAAGAGGTTCATCTCTACCGAATGTACGTGTCTCATGACAAAAGTGTAAATGTATGTAAAAATTCAAAATTGCACTCTATTTCTTATGTATGTACTCCAGTGCCGTTGCATAAATCTTATATACGCCAGCTTCTGACTCACTATTCTCATGTGGGTCTCGGCCATATTAAACAGCTTATGAAAACCGACGGCCTGGTCGATATATGTAAACCGATTATTATATACTTGCCGTGAGAATAAGTTTCCGCCACCACTTTTTGTTGCAACCGCATTTTCACGTACAAATTTGGCGGAAATTTATTCTCGCCGCAAGTACACATGAGTTGCTTTATGCGCACAAAAACAGGAACCTCCTGGGTTATTAAGGAGTTACAGTATACTAGGCCAACTCAGATGTTTCCGACCGCTCCAATCTCACAGTAGTTATGTCTTCACTGGTACAAGCGGTCTCTGGTTCCGATCCCTTAGTATAGCTTCCAAGGCTTTAGCGCCTGTCTGTATGGCTGCTAAACCTTTAGTGATCCGATTATATGTGCTTTTTCTGGTTGAGAGCAAACCAACTTCAATGTCCACTATGTTACAGCATTTGAAGCAGTCCCTGTAACTAAAGAGAAAAAGAGAGAAAAGAAAAAAGAAAAAAGAAATAGAAGCAGAGATATCTAGGACTATCGGTATAATGAATATAGCGGCGTGATAGCCCTTTTCTACATCAATATCTTATTTGATACAGCGGCTTTACTGTATCCAGGCCACCACAGGAGTGCTACCGCTATCACACATTTTGAGTACTGAGTCACGCACCATCATTTTTTGAGGGCAAGCAACTCCGACAGATCTATCCACAATTAGATGGATGATTACCCGCTGAATAATCTTGCAGATAATATTTCCTAGATTTAAAGTCTGCTAATCTCGACGTACCATAGATACGTATGTTCATAAACTGCCCCAATATTTGCTCCATTTCAAACTCTTTAAACTGCCATCTTTCGATGTACTGTACATGAAAATTACCTGTCCCAAATGGGAGAGGTTCAAGGGATAAGGAATAATTGGGTTGAAGAAGCAAGAATACTATAAAATTGGAGAATATGGCAAGACATACTATTCCCAGCCCAGAAAGAAAGAAAAAGAAAAAGAACCCTTAAAAATTCGACGATAATGCTTTGCATCACCATCACCAAACATAATAAACCCCATGGTGGTTAACAGAGATGAAATTGTATCTATGAAGCGTCTAAAATGTGCCAAGCAAGCGAAAAGTAAGTAAAGGCCTGTAGGGTAAAGAAACGAGAGGAGGGGATAATTCTTTACAATCAAACTCACTACCTCTTGCACTTAACCAAAACTCTTTGACTATTTGGTTTGTGCCCCTCTTCCCTCTTAAACTGATTTTCCCAGCCTTGGGTTAGCTTCTCGACTGATATTTGACAAAGGGCTAGACTTACCTGATGACACTATTTAAAAACCGTGTTTTGCTCTTGTCCGTCAAGTTCGGACTTGGGAAACCATCTCTTGATAGAGCAGTAGAAAGCCAAGTTTTGGCCTTGACTTGCCTAGCCACCAATCTTTTAAGAGGCTCTGCAAGACTGTCAACTTCACTCCTCGCAGCTCCACCTCCGACACCCTAAATTTCATACATTGATCAGCCAATTGCGTCCAAGAACATTTAACGAAGGCGACCTACCCAGACAAGTTTCTCGGCCAAAGCTGTGCCGCACATGGCTACAACACCATCTATCGCAGCCTGGACAGGTGGTGGCTGATCTGCTAAAGAGACAAATGTCGCCCAGAAAGTAGCGGCCGCTTTCTTTACCAACGGTTCTCTGACAGCCAAGGCATTCAACACAAATCCAAACAACATCTGCATCCTCTCCGTGGGTTGGTATTGCACGAGAATATTGACATATCTAGACAACATTCTATTTAAGAACTCCACCACACTTTGAGATGCCTCCGGGTCTGTCTGTGGGTCCTGCATTCTTTCCACAAGGGTCATAATAAATTCCATGAATTGCATTACCTCCGCCGAAATGTCGGGGCTGCCATCTGTTGAATGTGAGCTGACCATCGTACAGCCTGTCGATAATACTGACTCGATTCGAACACCATTATTTGCTCTTTCAAGTAAAAACCCTGTGATCACCTGTGGTGCAAAGACAAATGGGCCTGGGGTGGTTTCTGCAAAGCCTGTTCGGAAGACCGCACAAGCAGCATCAACTACTTCGCCATCTTCGTGCAAGCTTATAACGAGGGTCCGAACAATATCTAGAAGTCGTCTTTGGACAACTAATCCATCACCACGCTCCCAGAATGATCGGGGCTGCGGTGGTCCTTCGCCGGGTAGAAGAATTGGAACATCTTCTGGGACTTGTAGGCCTCTCCCAATGGAAATCAAACACCGCAAAGCCAATAAAGCCACTTCTTTTGCTTCTTCGTTCTGTTGAGCTACCAGTGACAAGCATTCCTGAACATCCTGCTCAACAAAACCTAGGAGTCTCTTGACAGGCCCCAATTTTTCTCCATCCGATGGCAAGGCTTGAACGACATAAGAAATGGCACAAAGAACCCGTTCTTTTGCAATATCATCTGCTGTGCTTGTGGCAGAAAAGATTTCGTATTGGTAAAGAAAGGTTGAAAGCTCGCCTGTTAGAGTACTGCGGCACGAAGCACATAGAGAGCATATAGACTTTGATGCGCTCCTAGCCAAGGTTGGTGTTGAAATGGATATAAACAGGAAATTCAATACTGTCGGTAAGAAATCCGAGTGTCTTTCGAAAAAGGCCGAATATGATCCTTGAAGTAACTGTCAGTGTTATTCTTCAGCGAATCACAGATGATAGAAACGTACCGATCAAACTGACGGCAGTTTGTCTTGCTTTGATAGGTATGTGGTTTCCGAAATCTGCCAATATAACAAACAGTTTCCCCCCGAACAATATCTCCAGGGATTCATCCTCTTCTGGTTCCTCGCTCAAAGAGTCGCTTAGAGAGTTGAGGCAAAATAAACTCGCCTCCACATCCTCCCAAACAACATCACTGCCTTCATCTGCTTGGAATAAAGCTCCCAAAACTTGATTAACAAGTCGTCTGAACAGCTCGGCCCCCAAGACGCCGTACACTACTTCCACCAAATCAGCTACATCCTTCCTGAAGGTCATAAAGCCGTCCCTCTGGTCCTTAGTCCATGATAACCATGACTGAGATTGGTGACCACCCGGTATCCGTATTTTCCTCCAAAACTCTTCAACGGCCTGTAAAATTTCTTTTTTACCTGCCATCAACACTATTCCAAGTTGGTCTTCGTCGATCCCCTCGGGGTCTAACAAAAATTCGGCAAAGCTGCTCCAGAATTCAAATGTCGTTCCAGAAATTTCTTCCTCTGCCATGGCCCATCCGGGAACTTTTAACATTCCATGAAGCATCTTCATTAAGGTCCGACTTTGTTGCTTATCCCAGTTACGTGCGATCTTTAGCACAGTTGCCTCTGAATACGCTACAATGAGGCGACCAAATTGGAGTGACTCTTCTGAGTCTCCATCCCCGGATGTGAGTAATTCGTAGCGCTCAAGGGCCCATGGAGATACAATGATACCTGCTAGGCAGGACTCATCCTCAGGCGTGAAGAATGTAAAATAATGCGTAAGAATATCTGTGATTACGTCGCATGCCACGTCAAACATGTCGGGATGCGCCATCCAGTTGAGAACGGGCGTGGTTAGACGTTTCAATTCAGGAAATGTGTGGGTTGAATCTAGGATAGCACGTAGGGAGTAGAAGACCCATGACTGCAGCACGTTTAGTTTCAAAACGCTATGACCAAACAGAAATGGGAGTTTACCTGAAAGGTTTTTATACCTTCCCTCACAAGTCGAGTATCACATTCAGACGATCTGTTTCCGGCCTCTGTAATGAGATTAATAAACTGAAGCTCCTTGGTTCACAGAATATAGTTTTACCATCAATATAACCCCCAGCGATAGAGTCCCATATTAGTAAAACAGCTTCGTCCACATTTGAATGTATTCTGTCATGAAAGCGGAGGCTTTGAAGTCTCAATTAGCTTCCATCCAACTAAGCCGAGCTTTCTGTGTGCACCAAGCAGACCTGCGAGCTCACTTTTTGACGTTCTTTCCATCAACCTTTCCCACCTCTTCCACAAGAATAGCTGTAAACCACAAGGCCGTAATTTTACTTCTGCTGTCTGCTTTACGTAATAATAGATCTGAGGTAGGAAGTCTTTCTAGTTCTTCAACCGGTACGACGCGGCCCAAGCAGAGTGAACAGACCACGTGTCTAATGAGATTCTGCCAGCTTTCTGGAAAACGTAGGAAGAACACGACGGAGGTTGAACAAAGCTTTTTAATGACCATTTGGGAGAAGTTGTTGGAAGCGACATTGATTAGCCAGCCGATAAGACGGTCCCTTAGGATTGGAACATCCTCTTCCGTGACCGATTCGCTACCCATCCGGCCACAGAAATCAGCGAGTAATTTCCTCACACCTAAAGGGGAACAGTGCGTACCTATCAGAATTGAGCTTCACTGTAAAAGTAAGGGCCCCAAAGAACTGAAGAAGTTCGTCATTGATGCCAAGGAGAGAATCTGCTAGTTTCCATCCCTCTGAAGAACGTTGGACCACTTGTAAGGTTGCTTGGATTTGAGAGAGCTCTTGTGGAGAGCCAGGTTGGTAGAGACGTTTGACGAGCTATACCAATGGATATTAGCGATCGAGATATCAAGAAACTCGCAATACAAACGAGGGAAATCATGGAGAGCCTCACACCCACAACCTCCTCCAGCGTGTTTGGGAATGGGAAGGGATCCATGTTAGTAAAGCCGAATGAGATCTTGACGTCAGGTTTGACTGTAAAATACTCATGGGAAATTTAAGAGCGGAGAAAAGAGTGGAAGTTCATTATCGTCAAAAGTATGGCGGATCAAGAGCCACATCCGCGCTGTTGTTGTTGGAGGGGCATTGATCAAAGGTGACACTGCACGGCTAAGTCTCGATTGGGTTAGCCCACATGTGCGGTAATCTGTGCGCCACCCCCACGGAACACAATGGATCAATATAAAGTGATACGAGTGATCATTCATGATTAATTTTTATATTTACAAGGTTGTCGAGTTCTTTTACTAAAATCTATACTGGGATCTGAATATATATGTGTACCGCCTTTCTTACCTACATGTAAACACATGTACATCAAGTACATACATTATACCCTACATGAGCATACATGTGACGCATATACAGCATAAAACCCAGAGAAGAGAAGAGCACCTAAACAATTTGCGGGTCCAAGTAAACATTTCCATCAGAGCTATATAAACAAAACCAACATCTCCTATAATATAAAAGTCAGAACGAAAAACCGCTTCGCAAATGACGGGTTCTGACTGATTGAATTAGCCAAAAATCTGCCGAAAGAAAGAAGGAAAGGAAGCAAGGAAAAACGCAAATATCCATTTCCTTACCCCCCAGAGCTTGCTGAAGGGATGCGGCTGGTAGCCTAGTGAAAGAATTAATGGATATAGTAAACCCTTATAAAAGATTAAGGGAGGGAGGCTTAAAGCTACTAGATTAATTAACTGCGAGTCTAACAAACGAACTCTTAGTACAATCTCTATAAGAAAGGGTAGTTAGCTTTTAGTAGGGATAACTATAAATGAAGGATAAATCCCCTTATTGTTATCAGACAGCACTGTCGCCTAATCACAACCAAATGTATTCACAGCCAAATTTGTATGCCAATGACCGATTTCCCAGTTTCACACTGTACCAGGTTAAAACGAACTTGGTTGAATCTTTGCGGTGGTAACACCGGGCTAACCCCTAGGCTTCAATGACATACATACGGTATTGCTATTGTGAGTTAAAATTCGCACATTACAACGATAAATACATGTATACATGGTCTCAAAACTCCTGAGCATTGCAAGTTGAGGAGAAGCTTCTGTTGAGCACTCATTGGGTCGCTAATTTAGAGTGCAGACGCCACAATAAACAAAAAGAAAGACAAAGGGTTTTTTGTTGGTCGATATGAGGACGATCCCTGCCACTTGCGGCGTTCACTGTGGCACTCGAAGAGTTCCTCACAAAGTTCTACAGAGCCCCGCATCAAATGGCAGCCCCTCCTTCTTTCCATATCACGCGCAATCTACGCCGGTTCCTTCCCTCAAATATCCTCCGCTTTCACTCAAACCCCCTATTCAAACCCACCAGGTCGCGTTTCCGCCTGTTCTCTGCACTCTATACAGACATGGAACCTGTAAACACTTCCGGTAGCCTCGCGAAGCTGCGAGAGCTCATGAAGAGGGAGAAGGTTGATGTTTATGGTGCATAGCTTTTTGGATTTAGTGTTCAATTTCAAATGTCACAGCTGACGTATAATCATAGTTGTGCCTAGCGAGGATGCCCATAGCAGCGAATATATTTGTGCTGCTGATGCCCGGAGAGGTCCGCCTGTTTTTCGCTCCTGCGGCGTTTCCCGTCTCTGACATTTCCTAGCTTTTATCTGCGGTTTCACGGGATCCGCTGGTTGTGCCATAATCACCCAGGAAAAGGCTGCCCTCTCGACGGATGGGCGTTATTTCAACCAGGCACAGCATCAACTGGATAGTAATTGGGAGCTCTTGAAACAGGGACTCCCTGAAGTTCCTACCTGGCAGGAATGGTAATTCAACTACACGTACTTCTGATATCTGTCCATTAGGTTGATGGATTATGTAGGGTTGTTCAGCAGGCTGAAGGGGGCAAAACCGTCGGCGTCGATGCCACTCTAATTACAGCTCGTAATGTCAATCGGTCTACGTCTTCTGGTCATATTCTAACTTTTATGAAATAGAGCAAGCGAAGGGTCTGGAGACTCGCATAAAGAAGAAGGGTGGTACAGGTCTTCTCGGAATGTCCAAGAATCTTATAGATGAGGTCTGGGGCACAGAAAGACCAGCGAGGCCAAACAACAAATTGATCGTCTTGGAACAAAAATATGCCGGGAAGCCCTTCCAGGAGAAGCTCGAAGCTCTTCGAAAAGAGATGGAGAAGAAAAAAAGTCCTGGGTTCGTTGTGAGCATGTTGGACGAGATTGCATGGTTATATAACTTAAGAGGAAGCGAGTATGTTTCCTTTATCCTTGGCTACATATTCATGGCTTATCATCCACCCTGGAAAGATCATGCAGAATCACTCGTTCTTTATTAACAACATTTTTCTGTGAAGCATTCCTTACAATCCGGTTTTCTTCTCATACGCTTTTATAACCCCCGCCGATGCAACTCTTTACATCGATTCCTCCAAGCTGGATGAGAAGGTTCTTGATCACTTAGGTGACGAGGTAAAGATCCGCCCTTACCACGCTATCTTCGACGAACTTGCCGCCACTTCGCAGAAGCTCAAGGAAGAAGCGGCAGCCACGGAGAACGGGACCTCTACGAAAGAGGTCCAGAAATGGCTCGTTTCTAATAAGACTTCATGGGCTCTGTCAAAGGCACTTGGTGGCGAGGAGAATATTGAGGTCATTCGGTCTCCTATCGAGGAGGCAAAAGCCGTCAAGAATGATACAGAAAGAGAAGGAATGAGGAATTGCCATGTCCGTGATGGAGTTGCATTGATTGAATACTTTGCTTGGTTGGAAAATGAATTGGGGAAAGGAGAGAAGTTAGATGAAGTACAAGTTGCGGACAAGTTGGAGGAAATTAGATCAAAGAACAAGGACTTCATGGGTCTTTCTTTCGATACAATTTCTTCAACTGGTGCCAATGCCGCTGTTATTCACTACAAACCAACACCAGGTGCATGTGCAGTTATTGATCCTAAAGCTGTCTACTTGTGTGATTCTGGCGCGCAGTACCTTGACGGAACCACTGATACCACTCGTACACTCCACTTTGGGGAACCAACAGATATGGAAAGAAAGGCATATACTTTGGTGTTGAAAGGGATGGTCGCTTTGGATAGAGCGGTATTCCCCAAGGGGACTACAGGATTTGCTCTAGATGTACTAGCACGTCAATTCTTGTGGGCCGAGGGCCTAGATTACCGTCATGGAACCGGACACGGAGTCGGATCCTTTTTGGTAAACCTTAATTCCAAATAAAATTCGAGGGGGTCATGAAACTGAATATATGATTAGAATGTCCATGAAGGCCCTATCGGCATTGGCACAAGGATACAATACTCAGAGGTTCCTTTAAGCCCAGGGATGGTCATCTCTGACGGTCAGTTATTAGTCCTGGGCTAGAATTGAGAATCTTTAACTGATTTTGTGTGAAGAACCCGGCTACTACGAAGATGGTTCCTTTGGAATTCGCATTGAAAGTAGGCTAATCTGCAAAACACGTATCCGGGCACCTGTTGACAAAATTCTAGATATTATTATGGTAAAAGAAGTTCAGACAAACCACAATTTTGGCGAACGGCCGTACTACGGATTTGAGCATGTCACTATGGTAAGTCATACACTGAGCCATCCAAATATCTGGTGACTAATTCGCTGTCATAACACAGGTTCCAATGTGTAAAAAACTTACTGACCCCTGTCTTCTCACCCCCGCCGAGAAAACATGGCTTAACGATTATCACGCGGAGGTTTATGAAAAAACAAAAGGATTCTTTGAAAAGGATAGCATAGCACTTAAATGGCTAGAGAGAGAAACGGCGGCGATTTAAGATATTTAGTCGACTCACATACGTATATTTGTCCGTTTTTGACATCACTTTTCTCTATTCATGTTACAATTTCCCAGGAGTTTTTAAATATTTCCACTTACATTGCATGATTTAACTACATATGTACATGTAGTATGAGTGCAATTTCCGATATGGTTATAATATGCCTAACCAGTTTACCTTCATATGCTCTTTCGTTCTTGGATGGTTATCTTGGAAGATTAAATATCTGCTTCAAAGGAGCTCGACATTTTCAAGGCCCAAAATCGATGGCATTATTCATCAGGAGGCGAGTGACATACCGTGATTCTCTATGAAATTATTTGGCTTAGGCCTGGCGACTGTATCTCTGGATGATGAAAGATAAACCGATTCTCAATCTATCTTGGAGAAAGATTTTGGAGTTCTTTAGCTCTTGGGCAATTGATAATTTACATGTACTTTTAGTCCTAAATAGTACAAGTGCGTAGATATTGTGTAACTCGTTTCGCCTTTTTTTTTTTTTTTTTTTTTTTTGCACTGTCTAGTCCCTATGATGATGGACGGGAACGACAAGTAGGTCGAATACACGTACCTATGCCAACTTGTAGAATTACAAAGAAATAGAATGCCATGCTGCCGCAAAAAGGGTTCGGGTCACTACCGCATCCCACCCTAATAAATAGCATTTCTTTCTTACCCGTGCTTACATGTAGCTTACGCAGTAGCTTATATTTGTCCGTAGCCTTTTCACAAGTTATATCTCTATTCCTCTTGCTATACCTCTCAAATTGGGTGTTAGCTGGAGTACCCACTCCCGTTCCTGGATCTACGCGGGTCAGCTATATACGTGTGAAGCCAAGCGTAATCGGATATGTCTAAGCGTGGTGGTTTCAACGCGCAAGATGCTCCAGGCAAGGGTCAATTCAACTCCTTCAAACACCAGTGGCAGAACCAACACAACGGTTATCAGAATCAAGAGAAACAACAACAACAGAGGCAGCCCGTCAGCGTTTTCCTGAATAGACCCGTCCTTGCTCCTGCCCTCAACGAGCGAACTAACTCTCCCCTATCTGCGGGTTACGCCGGTAAGAATTACAACCAGAACCACAATAATCGCAACGGCGGAAGTAGCCAGTACAACTTCCAAAGCTCGTCTCAGCACCAGAATGCTCATTACAGCCACACAGAACTAAACAGTCACGGGATGGAGAGTAATCCTACTCGCTCATCTACCCCAAACAGAGGGAGAGGGGGTGGAAGAGGTGGAAGAGGTGGTGCTGCCGGGGGTCGAGGTCGAGGCAATGGCGACCGTGGCGGACGGGGTGGAGGTTATCAGGGACGGAACGAAGATGGACGAGCGCGAAATGATGGTTGGAACAGTCCTGCAGCTACACCACCGGCTGGTAATGAAGCAGACGAAGAGTTCGAAGACAACGTTCGCGACTTAACTGCTACGCCAGCATCACGTGTGGCCAAATTTTCAAGCAACACCCTAGAACAAGCGTCCTACGAGGAGGTTTGTCCCAACTGAAAGATATGGCACACTATGGCCGGTACTAATAAAGATTTCAGTTGAAAGTAGCACGCGACAGAGAGCGCAGAGATGCGATCGCCAACGGTACCATCGATGACCCTGAGAAGCGGAAAACCTTGGAGCACGCTATCGACTTCGTTGGGACCTGCATGGACATGTGCCCGTTGTTCGAACGTCAACAGAGAGCGGTTCAGAATGCGGTCGATAGATGGGAAATTGTAGGCAACAGCCCAACCTCCACTGGTCAGCCCGATATACTGACCCACGGCCCGAATAGAACCCATCAACTGGGAAAATCGACAAGGCCCTTGCCGTCAAGCAGTTCCACCGCCCAGCTGCGGGGAATGATGCACAGCTCCCCTCGGACGTGCGCCCACCTCGAATTCTTGTTTCTACGCTTGACTATCTGATCAATGAGATTGCTGGTGGGAGCGAACCTCTTGAACTCACTCATCCATTCTTGCGTGACCGCACCCGCGGGATTCGACAAGACTTTACTCTTCAAAACTACCGTGGCTCAGAGACGGTAGCTTGCCATGAACTTATTGCGCGTTTCCATATCCTCGCAATCCATAAGCTCTGTGAAGAGACCAAAAACTTTGTCCCGCATCAGGAAATGGAGCAGCTTCAAAAGGTGCTCACAACCTTGTCCGAGTTATATGAGGATGCAAGACTAGTAAACATCGTCTATCCGAATGAGCCAGAGTTTCGGGCATATCAGATAATAGCTCACCTCCGCGATCCGGATCAAGAGCGACAAGCTCAACGGTGGCCGGATCACGTTTTTAATTCGAAGCCGGTTCAACAAGCCTTGAAATTTCTAACCCTCACCCAAAGGAATAATGATGAAGCTGTTCATATGAGAGTTGGAAACGCAGAGTCATGCTCGAATTTCTTCGGAACTGTCTTTAGACTCGTTAAGGCCAAAAGCACATCTTATCTGATGGCCTGTTTACTCGAAACTCATTTCAATGAGATCCGAAAAACGGCCTTGAAGGCTATAAAAAACACTTATCGGCCTGATACTAAGCAACTCCTATTAAGGGATATCGTGGAGATGTTAGCTTACGAAAACGAGGAGATGGCTTTCAGAGATTGTGAATATTATGGAATTGGTCTTGGAGAAGTTGAAGTTGACGGCCAAATGGTTTGGCATGTGGTCATCAAAAAGGGCGGCGCAAACTGGATTGGTAAGATCTGCAATTCGACGATTCGGATTGTGCGGTTGTTAACTAGAGTTGTACAGATGGATTATCCGCTTTGAGGCAAACATTTCATGCCAAGCTAGTTGAATCAAAGATTGGTAATAGGTCCATTCCTGATGTTATTTATGGTAGAAAGGCAAGTGGTAGCAAAGGCTTCAATCCGGCTGTGGCACCCTTTCTACCAGGACAGGCAAAGTTTGCAAACCCATCTTCTGTGCCCTTGGGACCAAACACATTCCCTTCGGGATTTGGCCAGCAAAATGCGTCTATGGCCCCTCCTTCGAACCATACACCAGCGTTTGGCTTACCAAAATCTGGAGCCACCCCAGCATTTGGCGTTGGTTTCCCACCAATATCGAAACCTATTGCGGGTATCTTTGCGAAGGCTGCATCTCAGCAAGCACCTAACGTCTTTCAGAAAGCTAGCAATGCCTCAGCCCAGGCTTCTAATATATTCCAGAAGGCAGCCGTACCAGTAGCACAGAACTCAGTATTCCAGTCTGGAACACCCGCTTGGGGAGCATCACAGCAGTCCCAAGACCCTCATCTGTCTCAGGCATCTAATCAGAACGGGGTTTTCGCAGCAGGCGCTGCCACATCGGCATTCCCTCCTACTGCCCCCAATCCCGGCTTTACGCTGGGGGGTGGCTTATCAACTACACAGGATACAACTGCAAAGAAATTGCCTTCAGGAATTTTCTCTGCCCCCCTTAATAATCTAGCCAACCAAACGCAGTCCTCGGTTTTCAAGCAAGAGCCTTTCGGCAGCATCCCCCAACAATCTCCGAACTTTATCCCCTCAAACTCGCAGTCTTTTCAAGCTTCAAAGTTGACATCTGGCGGGTTTTTCCAACCCACCATCCCACAGTCCGGATTTCAATCAAGCCAAACACCATCCACGTCTCAATCTATATTTCAGCAGGATCCCCTTAAACCGACACCTAATGGAATCTTCCAGCCATCAAACACCTCTTCGTTACCCAATCCCTCATCTACCACACCCTCATTCTCCCTTTTCCAACCACAAAACGCCCAACAAGAGGCTGCGGTTACTTCAACGAGTGGTGGATCTGTTTTTGATTCACACCCTGAACAGAAGAGCTTTCCTTCGAATTTTTTCAGCGTCCCAATAGCTCCTACCGATTATGATGACTACGAAGATGACGGTGCATACAGTGTCCCTGTACCCGTCAACACCACGCCGGGTGGTAGTCTGTTTGATCGCATTGGAAACCCACCATCCCAACAAGATACTGTGAATCAACTGACAGGCACGTCTGGAGCATTGTCTTCCTTTGAACCTCCAGCTTCTTTCGTGGGCTCATCAGCTAAACCATTTTCCTTTACGGCGCCTAATTTGGTTCCAAAGCCTACCACCTTTTCGGCGCAGCCTGTCAAACAACCACCAGTTCCGGTTGCAAAACTACTGGTACCCCGTTCCGCCGCTTGGGAAATCGCGAACTCACTTTTCGATCAGATTGTTACACAGGAGGTGAAAAAAACAGTTCAATCCGCCGTCGAAGAGGACAAAGCCAACATTATTCGTGAGTTGGCTGCAGAAGGATACGAGAAAGCCCAGAAGCTTGTGGCTAGAAAAATTGCATTGGATATCTCCGCAGAGCAGTTTTACACGAGGCGTTCCGGTGCAAGAATATTTTATGCATGGAAAGCGAGAGCGCGGAAATTGATGCTGAAACGCAGAGGCGAAGAGAGACGGAGAAACCCTCCAGCAGCCCCTCAAGTACAGTGGCGGCCTGTCCAAATACCGGATGAAGCATTCGATAGGTCAATCAAAGAGGTTGGTAACACATTTAGTGATAATACCTTGAATATGCTTACTAACTCGCCACACTAGGTCCAACGAATGACTTCTCTCACCTATCAATCGGTACCACTCAAGGAGATTTTTCTCCCTAAGGTTCAACAGGCATTATGGCCGACTAGCGAAGGAGACCGACGATGGCGCCTACTGTGTAAAAGCAGTAATACTCCTACGGACGTGAAAAATTACTGGTGGATAGAGAAATTCATTGGTAATGGTGAGCCTCGCATCGCTATGTCTAAAAAGGGAACTTTCGAGGTTCAATTCGACTTGTCCGATCCAGAGACAGAGGCGAGAGAAATTGGTGGATTTGTCTTTGGCTGTTCCGCAGATTATAGTATCTCAAATAAGGAGAGGTTTAAGAGGGACAGGACAAACTTGCACGAAGCGGTTGATTGGCTTTCTGGTACCACTGAGTTCGCAAAACTGGCGGTCATGGTAGTATGCTATAGAAGCCCATTGGATACTGAGGACGCGGATCCATATGGAAGGGACTTGGGAAGGACATCAGGTCCAGGGCGTCGTGCACGCATTGCCGCCGTAAGTTGCCAGAATGGGATTTGATTAATTTGGGATTTTATTTACAGAATTAACACCTAAGCGACCGCTAGATTCGAAAAGCCTTGAATTTGGATGCTTTTGATGAAAGGGTTATCGGCAGGGATATTCACCTGGTCGAAAACCTGGATGATTGCAACTTTACGCCAGTAATGAAGCAGTTCTCCCAGCTGGTCCTTGAAACGGTTAATCCAAAAGTCGCCGAGATGATGTCACGAAAACCCTCACCCGAGACAGAGAACTCTGCCAAAAGGAAGCGTGCAAGGCAACAGCAACTCTCAGTAGGTTTACCTAAACCTATAAAGCCTGCTTCAACCGAAGGTGTGGCCCCCGACGGCAGGGGCAAGAGGCAGCGCATGATCCGAAACGCTGGAATGCAGACCAACTACTTTTCAATCAAAGCAAGAGGATTGCACTTGGACTGGGACAAATTTCCAATGCCTGGTGGCGGTACCTTGGGAAGCGGTGTGGAGAACTCTGTGGCGGAGGAATACTTGGTGACCACTACTCCAATTACCACTCCTGGGGATAAAACTGGGAGGAGACCCGTATCCCCGAAGGGTGACAGTTTCGATGGGCTGAGGAACGACTTAATGGATTTGGAGAGAATGATGAACCAGGTTAATGGAATGTTTGATGAAAACATTGAGCAATTAGGGGAAATGAAGAAAGAGATGGCGGGGACTGAGGGGTCATCTCATTTTCCCATCCAGCAGAGGGCCGTTGGTAGTTAAGGCAATGGAGTACGAAGATCGACAATGATTGTGGTTTTATAAAGCATCGTGGGGGGAGGGGGGTTCGTTTGATATTCGCTTTCTTTCCTTTTTCTCTGTTCCTTATTTCATCTAAATATCTGTCCACCTCGGTTTACCTGGACCTTTATACTGTTAGTTTTTTGTTACTTGCATAGTACTCCTTCTCTTTGTGTATGTCTCTTATTGTAACTAGCTTAGTTTCTTTTTGCGGGCAGATTTTCTTGGGATTGCGGGGTCATTTTTGCGACGGCGAAATAAGGCGTGAGTTTTGCGATAAAGGTGGATTTTCATCGACAAAAAAAACTCCATACACCGTATGGTAATTTACACTGTATTGATAGTCGAAGAGAGTTTTGTACTTTACGAGAGATGTGTACTATAAGTCTTGGATATACTTATGTAACTACTTCTACTTAGCACCTATATATATTGTTTCAATGGTTTGGAATATTTTTTTCCCATATGTTCCTTGTATGTGTTGGGGTTGGTTTTCGGGCTTTGTTTCCCCATGCTGCACGTTGCCGGCAGGCACGGAGGTTTCGTGGTTGGTTGGACGAGGGTGGGCAGTTCATATGTTGCTCTGTGCAGGGATCTTCATCATCATCGGGTGCCATGATGCAGCTGTGGGTGGTGCTGCTGCTTGGTGCTGCGTGCATGGCCGGGGGACAGAGGATAACGGCAGACTTATCTTAACAGGAGAGGAGAAGGTGGTGGCAGAAAGAGGAGCAGGAGGAGGGGCAACCACTCAAGCGAAACCTTCGTACTTTGTCACATTCGATCGTTTGTCCAGGAAATTACATATTTACACTCCATAGCACGCACAATATCATACCACATTTCTCTCTGTTCCCTTCTCCGTCCGTAACCTAAACCTCTCACACACACTACTAGTACATACACCACAGACAGCTATTCTAGATTGCAGGAGAGCAGGGACAATATAAGCTCTCGTCTACCAAAGCCTGCCCATCATGTCAATGTCAACCACCAAACTGAACGCGGAGAACCATCTTCTCCTTGTGAGTCCTCATCTCTCTCTATGACTTTCACACGTGCACCCAACTGCATATCTCTATACTGACATAACCTCACTACAATGCCCAGGACCAACCTCTTCTCCGCCTCCCCCACGAACTCCTCCGAAAGAACTTCAAAACAGCACAGCGCTACTTTGAGCGGGAGCAGAAGGAGCTTAAGGACGGAATCCACAACGTCGCAAAGGATGCACTCGCCGGAGCATCCCCGGAGGACTCGCTAGCTTCGCTAGACAGCATGATCAACCGCATGCAGGGCTTCAAGCGGAAGCTGGAGGGCCTCCATGACGAGGAAAAGACACTGCATGAACACTCGAGGAAGAGAATCGCGCATCTGCAGGACCTATATAGTATCCCGAGCTTGGTGGATGAGAGCTATGACAAGTGGAGTAGGACGAGACTGGACCGGTTGCTTGTGGACTTCCTGTTAAGGAGCGGGTATGGGAACAGCGCGAGGCAGTTGGCAGAGGAGAAAGGTATCCAGGTTTGTCACTATAAATATTGCCATTACCTTGCTTATCGAGTTAGTATTGGGCTGACGGAAGATGTAATGGGCGACTAGGATTTAGTAGATGTCGATGTATTTATACAATGCTCGAGAATCGAGGCGAGCCTTCGTAATGGTAGCGTTGCGGAGTGTCTGTCTTGGTGTGGAGAGAACAAGTCGTCGCTCAAGAAGATAAATGTATGGAGTCAATACCGCGCACCTTTTCGCAAGGTTTAACTGACGCGGACAGAGCACCCTTGAATTCGAACTCCGGATGCAACAATTCATCGAGCTGGTTCGAGACTGCCGTCACAGGGAAGCTACAGCATATTCGAAGAAGTTCCTCGCGCCTCATGGGGAAAAACATCTAGACGATATAATGAAAGCGGCCGCCCTTCTTGCTTTCATGCCCACTACAAAGTGCCAACCATATAGGGTAGATACTCACGATATTTGACATTATAGCAACCCAAAACTGATAAGTATATAGGATATGTACTCATCTAAACGCTGGGACTTCCTCGCAACAACATTTGTAAACACCCATCACACTTTGTACGGTCTTCCGTCTCGCCCTCTTCTTCATATTGCTCTCTCAGCAGGTCTGTCTGCTCTCAAGACCCCCTCGTGCCACTCATCTATAGCAGCCTCAAGCAATGCCGGCACCACGACATCTCTTTGTCCAATTTGTTCAACAGAGCTCAACGACCTGGCAAGGAATGTCCCGTATGCTCACCATGTCCGATCTTCTGTTGACCCGGATCCTGTTGTTTTGCCCAACAACAGGATACACGGGCGTGAGAAATTGGAAGAGTTTGCAGTAAAACTGGGATTGCCAGCTGGTAGGATAAGGGATCCAACTACAGGTGACGAATGGGCCCGGGATGACACCACATTAAGAAAAGTATTCATTATGTGAAGGGAGTAACTTTCTTAGTAACAATGATTTACTGTAAATTTTAAGATTGTATGAACTGGCGTGTATTTCTTGTTTATCTTTTCTCCTCGGTACGACACCGAGCAGTCGGCGTATTTGGCCCTGTGTCTGAGTGTTTTTTTATCCTCAATTGTCTCCCCTTCTTTCCTGTTTTTGTATTCCTAGTTTGGAAGCACTGCTACTATACTCCACACTCGTTGGTATTATTTCTTCTCGTCCTCCTCATCAGAACTTTCGTCCTGGAATCTTCTCTCCCTCTTTGTAGTCTTCTTTATCCTCTTTACCTCTATAGCATTTGCGCCTGTTTTCTCACCGGTGTAACCTTTGTCCTCAATCAACTCAAAAACATACGTTCTTGCTTTCCGCTCCTCCCCCTTCCAGGCAGTGCCGCTGCCCTCGACATTACCCAGAGTCCTAGCATGCTTGTAGCCCGGATACGACTCGCTCTCAAACTTGAAGGACTGTCTCGTCCTGAAACCCGCGGCCTTTGCCAGTGACTTGATATCCCACTGATCATACGGCGCGCCATCAAACAGCGTGACCACCGCCGTGCCATCATTCACAAGTAGCTCCGCAGCCGTCTTGAAAAAGCCCAGTAAAAGCTCTGTAGTACGACCCAACTCGTCAGCCCTCTCAACCACAGTGCACACTATACATATATATCTATCTATCCACTGACCTTGATTACTCTTCACCTGTCTCCCCACATCCGTCGACAGCCCGCCCACATGCGGAAACATGAACCCCACAGTATCAAACGCCCCCTGCCGCTTCCTTAGGCTCTTTGGCAGCTTTGCAAACTTCGTCACGTCGATCCCGTGCAGCACCGTGGCGCCCTTCTCCTGTAGTAACTTCACGTTGCCAGCCGACTGCGGGTACTTCTCTAGCAGTGCTGCCTCGGTGTCGTAGCTTGTTGCTGTGAGACTCACTGGTCTGGGCCCCGCATCATACGCATACTCGGCGTCCTCGTCGTAGTCCACGTCCACATCCACATCCACATCCACATCCACATCCACATCTTCGTCTACGTCCTCCCGCTTCCTACTACCACTACTGGGCAGCAGGTGCGTATTCAGCAGCGCCACCGAAAACGAAAAGTCGCCTTCCCCGACCAGGAGGATCCGCGAACTCGGCGTATACGGGATCAGCGGCTCCTGCGATTTCTGCTTGTTGCCGCTGGCGGTGCTGGTAGAGTTCGATTTTGACTTTGACTTCTTCTTCTGCGACGGCGGCGGCGGCGGCTTCCGGAGGTTCCCGGGTGTGTGGGCGGACTTTTTGTGTGTGGCCTTTGCGCCCTTGGGTTGCGGGGGTCTGTGGTTCTTCTTTTTGCCCATTTTTTTCGTTTGAGATTTTTGGTTTGTGGATGGGTGAAAATGGAGGTTGCAATTGGAGTGCGCCGGATTAATGGTTTTTCCGCACTGGGGTGGGGGTGGGGGTGTGGGGTCGGATTAACTCGATGCGGAGTGGGCTGGCTGCGGTCTGCAGGTCGACGTAGCGGTCCAGCAGGGCAGCGCAAAACCTTGTGGTGGGGTGCTAGGCTGTTGCGGTGCTAGTCTAGGCATGGGATATCACTCGGGTTGTGCACATATCCCTACGGAGGAAGGCTGTATATAGAAAGATAGCATTTGTAGCAGCTATTTCTCTCATACCACTGGGGATATTCTGAGAGAAAAGACTAGCTCTTCGTAATAAAGACTGACGTGCTACGGTGATGTATCTAGTCAAAGGTGGAATTCTAGCTCAAAATATTGGTCGGGAAGGGGAGTGTTGCAGCTGCTTGACTTTACGTTTCTTGTCCCTCGAATTGTGTTCAGTCCTTGGCGCCAGAGTTTTGCGCATTCTGATCATTTCCTCACTTAACCCCCCGCAGGTCTTCCCAACCGTTCCTCGATGCCCGTCCAAAACCCCTCAGCCTCTCAGATGAAAAAAAAAGCATGAAAGAATCAACAAAAACTACTGTCCCTACAGAGGACTAGTTGCTCCCACGCCCGATTTGGGCTCTTCGTTGCTGGGATTAAACATGGTGTCTAAGTAACTTGACGATTGAGCAACGCTGCTCCAGGAGCCGGAACCAACAGACACCGGAAACTATAACTTGGTCTTTACACCTCATACTAACTCCAAAAGCCTATTGAAACTTACTTTGGCTACATGCCTAGCTAGTTTCTCCACAAGGAGATGGTGCGTGATTTGTACGTATCTGACCGATCAGCAAAACTGGGACCCCGCAAAGTGAGAGGGGGAAAGGGAATCAGAGAGAGAGAGAGAGCAGCCTCATGAAACCCAAGTACATACATCCACCCAGTAATGGGAAGGAAACACAAATCCAACGAGCTGGTGGTGTCAGGGGAATCGTCCCAAGAAAAGAGGGAGTAGTTGTCCAGCTGCTCTCTGTATGATCATGAGCACAGCCCCGGCGGAACTCTACATCTACGACGTCCCAGTATTGATCATCACAGCTTAATTCAATCTCTACTCGTTCACAGACTTTTATCGTACACACCATCTAGGCATGAGACCACGGTACCGTATCCAATCCCGAACTAAGCTAGCTTGGCAATGCCCGAAATCCCCGCAAGGTATTCTATCAGATATCACCAAGCTAGCTTTTACTTAGAGACTGAAGCCACCAAGAAAGCTACGACAACGACATCGAGTTGGATGGCCGGCCAGTGGTAGAGATTCATTGTCTCTATATTGACTGTGTTCTCAATTTAGGTCGCTCTCAACCCCCACTGACATCGTTTGTGATCTAGGAAAGATATGCCAGCCTAGAAGGTCACCGCAGGGGTGAAGAAGCCATCAAGTGATAGGCATACATACACACCAGGACATTCTGCTCGAAAAGGACACCCTGTGGAGCCATTATACACCCTTCGCTCTGTATCCTCTGGAGTCGTTAACGGACGTGTCGCCATGACCTTTACAGAGTGGTCATTGATCACCAGAAATCACTCGCCAATCTTCTACCTGGATATCTGTCTTCGAATGACAGCACAGCGAGACCGAGGGCGTTTTATGTTGGACTACTACTTGGAAACGTCTATGGGCGTGTAGCAGGTTAGTTATCCACATGCTAGCTATATATACACAGGTTTCTGAGTTTGTTCACGCAGAGTAAAGGCACACTTCTCAGTGGTATCGCTGGCTGTCAAGTGCTGGGCTGTATCTTCACCTTGAGAGAATGGCCGTTTTGGCGCACATTCATGTTCTTTCTGGTCAGCTCCGCGAAGGGATACAGACTGCTGAGGTTAGACTAATGGTGATGGATAGGAGCTACGGTGTATATGCACGAACTTCAACTGGATGTCTATTCATTCTAGGACCTTATAGCTGGCATTCGAAGGCATGGGTATAATACCTGAGAGAAAAAGGGCTGGCATAGGCTATTCGTCTCCAAGTTGAAACCTGGAAACTTCAGGTCTAAAAGTATTGGCAGAAAGGTATCGATTGTGGAGATCACCTACTTGTAAAGCAATATCTACACTTTCTGGGCATCGTCCGCCTTACCACTAACCTCCACAAAGCTACACCACTCCTTCCACGCGCTCCCATCGCCCATGGCCTCCTCCGCCCTCTTCACCGCCTTCTTCCACACCTCGCCCCTCGCAACCTCGCCCTCTGGCACTCTCTCTACCTCCCCGACCGCCCCGGCCACAACCAACAGCGCCGCCGTGTTCACCAATATGAACTCCTTCACCGGCCTATCGCTCTCAACACCCTTCCCAGTCAAGAGTCTCCGTAGAATGACCGCATTTTCCCCGGCGCTCTTCCCGCCCGCCACATCACTGAGCGGGTGTGCTCCCAGCCCAAATGTCTCCACCGGGTGCACCCAGAAATGATCCACCGCAACCTCCCCGTCCTCCTCAACGAGCCTCCAGCACTCGGTGCGCCCCTCGCACGACACCTCGTCCAGCCCTTCCTCACCACACACTACCATGCCCTTCCGGCACCCCAGCAGCCTCAGCGTCTCTGCAAACACCGTCCCCAGCTCCCGTCTCCCCACACCGATTATCCTCGCCTCCAGTCCCCCGGGAACCGAATAATCCACGGGATTCACCAGCGGCCCCAGCAGGTTGAAAATCGTCCTGAAGCCCAGCTCCCGCCGGATGCCAGCGACGTGCCGCATCCCCGGATGGTACACGGGCGCAAACAGGAAGCAGAAGTTTGCGTCTGCGCCGGCAAAGATGTCTGCGACGACGGGGGGCGTCACGGCGGACAGGCGTGCGCCGAGCGAGGTGAGGATATCGGCGGAGCCGGAGGTGGAGGTGGAGGCTTTGTTGCCGTGCTTGCAGATGCGGAGGCCGCAGCCGGAGGCGAGGATGGCGGAGGTTGTGGAGACGTTGAAGGTGTTGTGGCCGTCGCCGCCGGTGCCGACGATGTCGACCTGTTCCTGTCAGTGGGCTGTATGATATGGCAGAGGATGGATCGGATGGGGAGTGCTCACGAGGCCGCCGCCGTAGCTGCCCGGCGCTGAGTGTGTTCCGTGGACGGCGTCGGGGAGGGCTGGGATTAGGAGGCCGGCGTCACGCATGGCGGTTGCGGCGGCAGCGATGATGGCGGGCTGCTGGTCGAGGCCTGTGAAGTGCAGGGCGGTGAGGAGGGCCGCTGTCTGGGCGGGGGAGAGCTCGTCGCGGAAGCTCAGTGCGATGGCGGAGGTGATGAGGTCGGGTGTGACGGTGTTGCGCGCGGTGGAGAGCGCTTTGAGGAGCGGGAGGATCGATTGCTTGGGGGCCGCCATTGCTGCGATGTCGGTGCTGCGGTGGTGCGGGCGTGCGGGTGCGGGAGGAGGTGAGTTGCTGTGCGTGCGGTGGTGGGGTTTGTGTGGGAAAGAGGGTGGGGGAGTCATTGACATGCATGGTGATGCAACAGCAACTATGATGCAACCCTAGCCCTGCCCGTAATACATGACGGTTTCTCATGCAATTCTGCTCGACTGAAGGCAAGTATGTGCTTCTTGGTGTGCTTCACTTGGCCATTGGCATTCATTAAGTATCTACTGCTGCTCTAATTTGACAGGTATTTCTCCCCCTTTCACCACCCCCGGCTTACTTATTCCTCGCCCTCCACAACGACACGCGCCTTGATGATCGAAATGTCGTCGATGGGCTTATCGTTCGCGTCCGTCTTGACGAGCCCCATCCTCTGCACGATCCGCATGCCCGAGGTGACCCTCCCAAAGATGGTGTGCTTGCCGTCCAACCACGGCGTCGGCGCAAGTGTGATGAAGCTGTGGTTTTAGCCCCCGAGGTTAGTTGCTGGAAAGCTACGAGCGGGAAGCAGGAATACGCACAATTGCGACCCGTTGGTGTTGGGCCCCGAGTTGGCCATAGACAGGATCCCGGCGCCCGTGTGCTTGAGGTTCGGGTGTATCTCGCTGCCAGCACCGAGTCAGTCAGTTACACGCAGCCGGCGGAGGAGGTGAGGGTCGTACTCTTCAAACTTGCCGCCGTAGATTGAGGAGCCGCCGCGCCCCGTGCCGGTCGGGTCGCCGCCTTGGATCATAAACTCGGGGATTATGCGGTGGAACTGGTGGACAGGTCAGTCAGCATTGCGCGCCGGGGGAGGTAGGAAGGGGGAGTGGTGGTGGTACGGACGGGGCAGTTGTTGTAGTAGCCGCGCTTCACGAGGCCTTCGAAGTTGCGGCAGGTCTGTTTGGGCAGAATGTTAGATGCTGAAGTTGGGTTATGAGGGACACTGGGACTGGGGTGCTTCGTGGGCGCACCTTGGGGGCGTGGTCGACGTAGAGCTCGATGGAGATGGTGCCCTGGGGAGGTGTTAGCTGTGGGACTGCGCGCGTGAGGGATTGAGTGGGGGAGTTGTACCATAGTGGTGTCTAATACGATGTTTGTCGCCATGATTGTGATTTCTGCGGGCTTGTTGTGTTTTCTGTGTGTGTTTGTGGAGTCGTGATAGGTGATGCATTCATTTACCGGGAGACAGACAGACAGACACGCACCGCTCACTCGAGTCTGTTGCGGCTCTGCGCCCGCTGCATGCACGTGCTGACAACTACCCGAATCCCTGGCAGCGCTCATCCCGCGCTGCGAAGAAGAATCTCTCGTCTCAAGGGAGCGAATCCTTCAACCCCACCACCACTGCGCTCTCACAACTCTCTCACTCTCACCACCACCACGAGCAGACAGACAGTCTCTCCCCTCTCAGTAATCTCTCTATCCATCCCTCACGACATTGGCCATGAGTTCAGTCGTCAGTAAGTACCCGTCTACCCTGCCCGTCCTCACTCCCGCACTCTGACTCTGACTCTGACTCTGACTCTGACTCCCACCCCCACAGACAAGTCCAAAAACAAATTCGTCCCCAAAGCGCGTGCCCGCGCCCGCCCCACCGGTCCCACCCCCTCAGGCCCCGCCCCCCCAAGCACCACCACCACAGTCACTACCGCCGCCGTCTCAAAACCGACGCTCGAAGACCCCACCCCCACCCCCACCCCCACATCCACGCCAGAAGAGACCTCAAGCAGCGACGATGCAGCCCCAGTCACCACCCCCGCCACAGCACCAATACCAATATCAACACCGGTAGAGCGCCAGCCCTCACCGCCGCCCCCACCGCCCCCGCCAAGAGCCAACGCGGGAATACCAATGGTCCGATCCGCGTCTTCTGCGTCCTCCTCTGCATCGGCGATCCCAATGCTGCGGTCGACGTCAGCGAACGGCATCCCCGGGATCCAGTCTGCAATGCCGACGCCCATTACGACGCCGACAGCGACGACGCCGACGGTGCTGGAGGAGGCGGACGTGCTCGACGACGAGGAGGAGGTCGAGGTCGAGGAGGCGCCGAGGCGGGGGAGGAAGCCGCGGGGAAGGGATGTGGATGAGGAAGAGGAAGGAGAAGCCGATGAGGATGAAGACGCCGCAGGAGAAGACGCCCCAGCGCGGAGGCCCGCAGCGAAGCGCAAAGCGCGGACCACCGCCGCGGGCGAACCAGCAGCGAAGCGCAAGCCCGCGCAGCCGCGGAAGAAGCGCACGCCGGTCGAAGGCACAGAGGCGGGGCCGGGGGCGGGGGCGGCAGGGGCAGCGGCGCCCAAGAAGCGGGGGAGACGGCGCGCCGAGTCTCCAGAGGACGGGGAGGCGCAGGAGATTGCGGTGAATGTTGTCAAGATGAAGGACCTGTGCAAGGACATGCGGATCGGGCGCAAGAGTGCGCGGTTCATGGAGATCCAGGCGGAGGAGGCGGCGCGCGCGGCGCTGTCGCAGCAGGAGAGGGAGGAGGCGGATGAGGCGCGCAGGGCCGCCGAGGAGGAGAGGGGGTTGGAGACGGCGGAGATGAGGATTGAGAGGTTGGCGGTGGAGAGGAATCAGAAGGGGTTTGTATTTTTCTGTCTATTTACTTTTGGAATTCTACGGTATGTGGTGCTAACTAGAACTATCTACAGACTCAACGCCGCCCAGGTCCGCATCGTCAACGGCGAAATCGTCATCGACGACGAGTCGCTGCAGATTGACCGGCGCGAGCGCGACGCCCTCGACGAAGACGCCCTCGAGATCGTCGAGGAGAACCAGCACACGCGGCGCATCACCTCGCAGACCTTCTCCAAGCGCGAAAAGGTGTCGAAATGGGACGCCGAGCAGACGGGCCGCTTCTACGAGGCGCTGTCAATGTTTGGCACCGACTTTGAGATCATCTCAAAGATGTTCCCCGGGCGCAGTAGGAGGCAGATGCGGAATAAGTATCTGTGCGAGGAGAGGAAGAATCCGCATCGGATCACGAATGCGCTGAGGACGCGGATTGCGATTAGTATGTTCTCCCCCCTCCCCTTACTCTTAGCTGGCTATCTGGGTGCTGGGTGCTAACGCAGAAGCAGACATCGACCAATACAGCACGCTCACCTCACAAGAGTTCCAAGACCCACAGGAGCTCGAAGACGAGCTGCAGAAGCTGCGCGACGAACACGAGGCCAGCGAGACCGCCGCGGCGTCCCACATTGTCGAGGCGGAGCGGGAGCGGCAGGAGGCTGCCAACGCGGCCATGATCGCGGGCGACAGCGGCATCGGCGTGGGCGCGGGAGAGGCGCACAAGAAGGGGCGCAAGAAGAAGGGTGCGCGCGGCGGCGGCGGCGGCGGCGGCGCGGGCGAGGAGGAGGTGCTCATGAGTAGGGAGGAGTATGAGGCGATGAGGGCGAGGGAGGCGGCGGAGGCGGAGGAGTAGGGGTAGTTCTGAGGGTAAAAAAAGGCTAGGGGTGGTGTTAATATCAACTTTCTTTTTTTCCTTTTCGTGGATGGCTTCTTTTTTTTTCTTCTCTTTTTTTGGTGGTCGGTTTTTTTTTGCTCTTTTTCTACTTTGTATGGCGTTGGGTTTTGGCTCATTGGGGGGTATCATATTGGCAAGTAAATGAGGGGGGATAGAGGGGCTGGAGGGGCTGGAGGGCTTCTTCATCACAAGTTACGTAGGTCTTAATCAAAAGAGACCTTAGGAAGGGGCCGTATCCCCATGTATCTTGCGTTAATACTTGTACAGACAAGAAGCGTTCATTAAGGTATATGTTGAGTGCCTGTAATCTGAGTGGTAGGATAGCGAACCAGAGCGACGGGATAATATAAATCCTGCAAGCATTGGGAGGTTGGGCGGTGTAAAGCACCTAGCTGTTCTGTCACTGCCGAGATCTAGAAGCACATATAGTGCCCGAGACGGACTCATCGTGTAGAATGAGTACATGTGCTTTTATAATCCGCAGCCAATGTAGCTGGTTTTCACTAACACATGTACCTTTTGCCACAATGCTAGCTCGTAGCTGCGGCCAACCACCACCTTTTACGTATGGTCACAAACTATCACTCGCCCATGCATCCACTGTAGCAGACAATAGTACAGCGCGAGAAAGCGTTCAAGATATCCCCCACAACGCCCAGAAAGGGAAATATACCATCGAGTGATAGCTCATGATTGAGATGCAAGGCGGGGATTGCGCAGTAGATACAGTGGTAAGGAGGGCAGGATGAGGCTGGTGGGGATTGGCGAAGGAGTCAAGGGTATTTCTGGTGTGTAGCTCTAAATCGGGAAGGGGGGGGGGGGGGAGTCTGCTGCTCTCGGTCTTGTGAAGGGCCTAACCCGCTATTCGGCCAAAACCGTGCATGTACATGACGTTGTAGAGTAAGCTCTACTCGTGCAAGTGGAACCCTAAACTTCAGTATGATCCACGGCTGCATGTATGTACTGAACCATCTCTTTCCTCATTCAACCTTTTTTGTTCTTTGTCGAACAACCCCCCCGCCTCCATCATCGCCGCCAGAACCGCCGCTACAATGTCACCGACGGTTACCCTCGTTCTATGCACATTAGTGACGATCTGCCAGTTCCCCTAGAGGGGATAGATGTTCAATTAATTTCTAGATTTAGGGATTAAATTTTACCTTTTCTGTTTCTTGGGCAGGCTTATTACATCCAGGACTTGGATTTTTTTTTTCCTCTTCCCCCTTTCCACCCCCCCCCCCCCCCCCCCCCGGGCGGCCTCTCTTCCTGACTTCTTCTCCGGCGGAAGTGCGGTAATGGTGTACATGCCGTCAGTCTTTCCCACTACAGATACAACCATTGATATGCAAGCTTCTATCGGCCTTTGGACGGAACCATACCAGATATGGAGCAGTAACAGATCTCCGAATTGACTAATTTTACCGTGTGATCGCTCGTTCTGCGGAGTCGCAGAAGCAAGTGTTCTGCTAGGTTTTGTGTTACCTACAAGCAACACAGATCATATCCACAACTAGTGGATTTGAATCGCATACACCACTGTTTCTAGATATCGACTCAACAATTGTCATTGGCGGTGATATGTATGATATAATTGGGCTATACCATTGTACAGGGAGTCCTCAAACACGTCAGATCATATGCTTGAAAGTATATATATATACTTATTAGACGTTCTCTCGTCGGTGACCGGACCAAAGGTACTCGCGCTTTACTGAGACTTGACCAGATTCCCGGGAGCTCATTCTAACGTACTCGCTGTGGATAAATATCTCCAACGCATCATATATCAAATCAAGGGTAATCGGCCTCGCCGGTCCGGGACCCATCAGCAGAACAACAATCAAGGCCGTTTTCAAGGTCTTAATAAACTTGAAGGTGCGGATATTGGTTGGCAAGTGCTTATCAACTCTATCGAATATTGGTCTAGATCAACGATGGGACTGTTTTAAACCTGCAGTATCTCATCATACTGGTATTGTTGGGCCTGGGTGTGATTATTTGAAAGGTCTGAAACAGATCGGACAACTTCTAGACTACATGCAGTTGTTAGTTCTCCTAATAACATATTCACATGAGATATTCCCGTACGCCCACAGAAAATATGATGAATGGCATGTTGCTTTATATCTCATTCATTCCGGGTGTTCTAATAACAAAGTTTTTTATTTTACCCCAGGGTAAAAAGGATTTGATACAGTACAAAAACACACCCCATAATACAGTACAGGATTAGTTTGAACAATTAATTTTCATAATTAATTTCCAGCTAGCAATAATTGACTACCCGCCAACGCATCATTCCCGTCCAACACCCCCTGCACAGCTTCAGTCAGACTCTCCTCGTCTTTTTTGACGCCATTATTAACCCCAAGTTCTTTATTGATTGGATTATAGGGCTTTGTGCTTTGTTCAAGCCAGGTCCGCCTTGATGGAACTACCCACGCTGCACCGTCAACCACGTGGACCTTCCAGCCCAAGTCACACAACCAAAGTTGTTCAACCCTTCCCTGATAGTATGAATATGACTTTCCGATCACCATTTTGAGCATCGGTCTATCAGTTCCCGTTGATCTCATGTAGTTGTAACGAACCAAGTCGTAATAAGTTGGCACATCAGTCAAAAATAACTCATCCTTATCTTTCACCTTTTCTCCACACAGGGCATCAAAAACATCAACAAGCCTGGCACTTCCGCAGACAACATGTGTCGTATAACCTATCTCTGGGCGGTCTTGAGTGCCCCATACTTTACCGAGATCTTCGGTGTAGAGTTCAATATTCCAGAATACTTTGAGGACCTGGTGATAATGGCTTTTGGGCTGATGGCAAAAAGTCCAATCCGCAAACTTGCCACCGGCTAGTAGCAGAATCATAAGTGATTTATGTAGTCCCACCGTGACCCGGACAAGATCCTCGCTGTAGAAAGGGTGTGAGATGGTCTTCACAGCGGCCGGTAACGAAAGACCTAGCTCTTCTTCTGCAACTATGATCGGGTCATAGTACCATTGGCCTAGGCCATTCGAGGCAATGAACACGTACTGGCAGCCAAACTCGACAAATTCAACAACAAAATCTGTAAGAAAGGCTGACTTTGGGCGTCTCATAAAGTACAATGGCTCTGGGTCTGATATCTGTGTTTGTTGGTCTTCCCATAACCTTCGGATCTTGGGGTCTGCTGCTTGCTCCTCATTCTTTGACCCGACCACGACAAGCTCTTGGGTCGAGATATTTGTGAGGGAGGGACGGATTCGATAATGCATCCTGACTGAACGATATCTAGTAATATGGTCCCGCAGTTAGGGGGGCGGGCGTTTTGTGGGCTAAGTGGGGTAGGTATTTACTGTAGAAACCGTTGTTTAGGAAAGAGCGAGCAGGACATAACAGCCTGTGATGCTTGCTCGTTTTCCAGTTAAGAGGAAAGACTTGGATGATATTTCAATAAGGCCACATAATCTGGCATTTGAGCAAGGTGTAGCCTGGCTTATATTACATGTTCACCACATCCCATTAACTCAGCGATAGAAAAAGTGTCGTGCTCATGAGAAAACGGTCTGGTATGTATTGTATTTGCGATCTGTTACTAGCAGGCTTACCGTAGCCGCCTGTGCTGATTTCGTGGCTGCTGGTGTTTGTGGCTAATGTATGTTTGTTTACTGGACAACATCGACGGATGTTGAGCTGGGGCTGGGTCACGAGACCGAACGAGTGATGTTTCATGAATCACTCCCGAGATCTGTCCTCACCCAACCACTTAAAAACCAAAACTTTCAGGGTTTCCAAGTCAAAAAGAATTAATATTGGTATGAGAGATACGCCCTTCATGATCATCTATAGTATTCTTTTTTACCCCTCCCAATCCCAGCGCCTTCGTAGCAAAAAAAATTACATAATAGTCCAAATATATAGTCTAAAAGCAGAAAACTTGGTGATCGAGCTTGGACACGGGCTTCGCAGGCTCGTAGCCGAGTGCGCTGGTGGCCTTCTTCATAGCTGAGACCATAGGTGGGGGACCGCACACCAAGATTTTGACGTCTCCTGCGGGGGGAGGGCATCGTTCCTAATCTTTTTGTCAGCATTTTATTCTGATTTTGGAAGGGCGAGTAGGACAAACCTTAATCATATCGGCGGTAACAAAGCCAACACCACCAGTCCAGCCTCCTGGGGGGTTGTTCAAAACGTAGTGAACACGGAAGTTGGAGTGGGTGGACGAGAGCTCATCCAGGTCCTCCTTCAAGAGAATATCCTCTTCATTAACGTTTGCAAAGAGCAGATCGATCTGTGTCGTATCTTCTGGGTTCCTCAAGATCGCCTTAATGATTTGCAGCATCGGGGTGATACCAGTTCCACCAGCGATCATGCCGAAAGCGCGGACAAGGTTGGGGCGGTAATGGAAGTGTCCCTTAGGGCCCTTGACCCGGATAGTCTGCCCAACCTTGAGACCTGCGATATACTTGGAGATGTTACCGGTAGGATAGGACTTGATAAGAAGGGAGAATTGACCCTTGTCGACATCAGAAGAGATGGGGGTATATGAGCGGACTATCTCCTTTCCGTCGATGGTGGCGGCAATGGAGACGTGCTGGCCGATAGGGAGACCAAGGATATCATTTGCTCGGGGGAGGTTGAAGCGGTAGCTATAATTGATTAGTAAATAAACAGGGAAAGCGCTGGGAACCGGGTTCCGTACATTCCGACATTGTGAGAAACGGCGATGGTCTCGGCGAGTTCGAATTCTTGGAACACGTCGGGCTTGAGAATTGTTCGTGATTCTAGTAAGCGCAATGGGAAATGTCAGCGCCGTAAAATCATTGCACGTCCCACCTGGGCGCTATCAGAAAAGGGGCATAAACTTACGACCGCGGAAGACCTTAAGACCACCAAGTACAGCGGCCGCGGCGACGGCATGTGGCACGTAGTTGTAGTCAATGATGGCGACTCCGACAACTAGGAGACCGATTGGGATGTAGAGCCCATGGAGCGGTGTGCTGAGAAGGGCTTGGTTCGACTTCTTGGCCGGTGCGATTGAGGAACTTGATGCCATTGTGGAGAGTTTTGAAGAGGGATGCTGTAGGTAGGTTGGTGAAGAGTGGGAAGGAAGGGAGAAGGGGCTCCGGGAGTAAATAACTGTTGGTGTTCGCTGCTTACTGGACCAGATCCGAATGTGTGAAATCACGCGGTGTGGGAGGACTTTCCTTTTGGGGGAGAAAAAAAAAAGTATTTTACCATGTGTTGGGACTGAGATATACGCCAGAAGTACAAATGCTACGATAGCTATTAGTATGTGTACAGCGAGGTAATGCCCGCCAGAGATACTCGATATAATCTTATATATATAGGGCCCCATCTTAGTATCGATATATATATCTTACTCCTCAGCTTTATTGCGACTCAGATAAAAAGAAGAGCGCTGTTGGTTAGTACATACTGGACGATACATGCGTTAAGAAGAGACAGTGTAATATCTGCTTGTTAAATATCAGGAAGGCTTTTAACGTTGCAATTTTTGACTAAATCCACGTACTCCTTGTACACAGGTGATTTGCAGCATCATATAAAGTATGTAGCCGTATCATGACCTAAGTAAACGGTTTCTAATAAGATTCTAGAATATGTATATTGGCCTGCTATCTTCGAAGCGGATTATCATGAACGGCCACGATTGGCTGGGGCCAACTGCATGTCTTAGTTTGCCCGATTAGAAAATTGTTGAACTCAGTTGTCCGCCGCTTGAACAATTGGCTTGTTGGATTAGATAAGGAACACCGCCTGCCAAGCCTCAGCTATCCCCGCCAGGTGACATAAGATCTAGACAGCGAGTCTTGACTTTGACTCTAACTTAGACCAAGCATCACAAGAACGACAGAGCTATCCACATTCACTTTAATTTTATATAGTGCATATATCTCCATAAACCCACAGCTCTATATCAACCATGGCTCAAGATCCCAGAGCACTCCTCGCAAAGGTCTGAACTACCCCCTCCCCACTTCCAAAGCTACTAACTAACCTCCCATACCTATTAGGCCGACAAGGCAGCTGCCTCCGCGCAGGGAGGCTTCAGCTTCTTTGGCGGTCGCCAGGAAAAGCTCGAATCTGCCGCAGACCTTTACACTCAGGCCGCCAACGCCTTCCGAATGAATAAACTAGGTTTCTACCATTCAGCCCTGTCCCCCTCCTTCTAAGCTTACCTCTTTCCCACCCACAGGCAGAGAAGCTGGTCAAGCTTTTGAAAAGGCAGCAGAGATTCAACTTAAGATCAATGAGCCAGACGACGCCGCGAACACTCACGTGGAAGCTTACAAAGCCTACAAGAAAGATGATCCTTCGGCGGCCGCGCGCGTTCTCGAAAAAGCAATCAGTCACTACACTCTAAAGGGCAACTTCCGCCGCGCCGCAACACACCAGCAAAATCTGGCGGAGTTGTTTGAGCTTGAGTTGGGCGATATTAAGCGCGCGATCGATGCCTATGAGCTAGCTGGTGATTGGTTTCAAGGCGATAATGCAGAGGCTCTGGCGAATAAGGTGTTTCTAAAGGTTGCAGATCTGGCGGCTCTGGAGCAGATGTACCCGAAGGCTATTGAGCGCTATGAAGGCGTTGCAAGGAGCTCAGCGGGGAACAACTTGATGAAATGGAGCCTGAAGGACTACTTTTTGAAGGCCGGCATTTGCCATATGGCTGCTGGGGCAAGTTCTCCAGTCTCGGTGGATGAGGGGCGTCCTGGCTAACAGGGATGGTTTATAGGATAAAATCGCTGCAAAGCGAGCTCTTGAAAGCTACACAGAGATGGACATAACGTTCCCAAGTACCCGTGAATGCCAGTTGTTACAAAGTATCATCGAAGCTGTTGATCAAGGGGATGATGAGGCGTTCTCGGATACGGTGTTCCAATATGACCAGCTGAGTAAACTTGATAAGTGGAAGACCACAATGCTTTTGAGGGTCAAGGAGAGTAAGTTAAACCCACTACCAAATCTGGGAGGCACCTGTGGATTATACCTCAAATACTGACCAGGGTTTTTTCGTAGCTATTATCAACGAGGATGACTTGGCCTAACCGTATAATGTATATTTCTTATACTCCATCGACAGGACATTTCTTTTTAAGCTTGTCATAACTACAACATTCGATTCCGGTTAACTATTTTTACGCCTTTTCCTTCTTCCTATTCCTCACTCTTGCACTCGGTTCGGTTAATGATTATGAAATATGGATACGGGTGGGTTGGTCTCTTTTCGCGGCGTGGTGGGTGTTTACACGCTTGTATACATCCTTTTGTCTATCCTTATTTCGCTACTCTTTTGTAAAACGTGTGGTGATAAATTATGCAACTTGACTAGAGATCATTACCCGATTTGTAGCATGACGAGTGATAGGATGTGACTGCAGTTTATGACCGTTAGGCACGACCCATCCCTGTGCTAAGAAAGATTGTGGGGCGGTGATCCGTTGGTTGGGAGTGCCTTGAAATTTTAAGCTGCTCTGATGGTTTGTCCATGACCCAGAAACCTAGCCTACCATCAAGAACCAGATCTTGAGGAATTCAAAACCTGTCTCAAATGGGGGACATCATACCCATGCCTTATGAGGATCCCTACTTAAAAACGTGGGAGGGAGGTCCCGAGTTTTATACCCCCGATATTACCTGCAGGGCTTAAGGTTGCAGATTATCAAGATATAAGAGCTTCCGCCAGTCTCGTTAGATACTGGACAGGCCTTTATTGTTTTTGATATCTGGCTAGCAGTGTTTGACATGGTACATACTTGCTCAGTAATCGCCACGTCTCTCTGCTCGATCCCTCAGGACAGGCTCGTGAACCAAAGCGTATTGTAATATCGCTGGTATCAGCCGAAATTAGTAGCTATTATATAGAACATGCAGTAATATCCATGCAGGTGGTAATATATCCCCATGCATAACAGCCAGGCCAGCAGGCATTTGTGTGCAGATTCAACTTTGGATTCACACGAAGGCAAGAAGATGGCAAAGCTACCGAGGAACTGGTAGTGGTAATGCAAATAGATGTAGTAAGACGTGTATCTACTCTACTGTGTCCGATTTGTTTGTTTGAGATGTCACGCCCCAGAAGCTGTATGTACTTTTAGAGTGGTAGCTGCTGTGCCCGATAATCCGGTCTGTACGGCCGAGATCCCGGTGAGACATGATATAATGCCGAAATTAGCCCCGGTAAGCCATCAAACGAACGCCGCGTAAGCCGAAGTACGACGTTCAGTTCGGGCATGCGGCAAGCCGCATATCAGTTACAATTTCAGGGAAACTGGAGGCGTGCGCACGGGGGTTGAGGCGTACGTAGAGGTTGGGTACTCTAGAGAATAGAGTAGGTAATGGGTTACAAGGTAGAGTTAGGTAGCTTTTTGAGGCCACAGCGTCCGGCAGGATTTTCTTCTTTTCTTTTCTTTTCTTTCCCCAGCCCACCACACTCGTTCTTTTTTGGTTTGGGATTGCCGCTCGGTGTCACTCCTCACCCCTTACGGCTTGGGGCTTGGGATTGCCGTTGTTAGGTTGCTGGTTGTGGTTGTGGTTGCTAGGCACATCATGTAGCGTATGTACATGTAGTGTAGGTAATAAGTTTGGGTCTTAACCCTCTGCACTACTCCGCTCCAACCATTCAAGCTGCTGGGCTCTCTCGCGCTGACTTTCTCCTCCTCCTATCATCATCACTCGCTTCTGCTATATACATATACAAGGGCTCGTGGCTTCATCTCCTCTCCCCTTCTCCTTTCTTCTCTCCATATACATATCACTGCGTGTCAGTCAGTCAGTCAGTCAGTCAGTCACCATATATTTCCTCTCCCTTTCTATTTTCAATCATTTTCGTTCATAAGCATTTTGTCGTTATTTCATAGCCACTTCCCACCCCCCCCAAATCCATCCATTGATTTCCACATTTGTGTTCGTCAACCCCTCCTTCTTCTACAAACCCACCCCCCGCTAAGATCTGTTCTTTTTTGTCAATATCTATCTATTGTCGAGCTGTGTGGACTAAAACTAACTTCAAGACACATCCTTCTTAGACCCAACACATACTTTACAGCTTTAGACCACACATACCAATCGCCTAATCACAATGGGAGAAGTTAGCACCGTCGACCTGAAGCTTGATCCTAAGTACGATCATTACACCTTTCCAACAACAAACCCTGCAACCGGCCCTGGGCATCCAGGACATACCACACCTGAGCACGATGCTTTGGTCGTCAAGTTCAGGGAGGAGCTTGAGAAGGAGGGTTACACAGAGAGACTCGACACCATCACCTTGGTTCGTTAACCTATCCCCCCTCCCCCCACACAATTCTTCAATGCTTGGCGAGTCGTCATAGCTAATCATCATCGATATCTATTTAGCTCCGATTCTTAAGAGCCAGGAAATTCGATGTTCCTTTAGCCAAGAAGATGTTCACAGACTGTGAGACCTGGAGGAAGGAATTCAAGGTGGACGAGATCATGAAGGATTTCGAATATGTCGAAAAGCCAAAAGTCTTCGAGTACTACCCCCAGTACTATCACAAGACTGATAAGGTATGGGTCTCATGCACGACCTTCCTCTCTCCCGAGAAAGATTTGCAGAAGCTCATAGTGCCTCTCCAATCTAGGACGGCCGCCCCGTCTACATCGAACAGCTCGGAAAGATCGACTTGACTGCCATGTACAAGATCACATCTATGGACCGAATGCTCAAGAATCTCGTTATCGAATACGAGAAGCTCGCCAACCCTCGTCTTCCAGCTTGCTCGCGAAAGTCTGGCAAGCTCCTTGAGACCTGCTGTACCATCATGGACCTGAAGGGTGTTGGTCTCACCAGTATTTCTTCGGTATACGGCTTCGTCAGCGAAGTTTCGAAGATCTCGCAAAACTACTACCCTGAAAGGCTAGGAAAGCTGTACATCATCAATGCCCCCTGGGGTTTCTCTAGTGTCTTCGGCGTCGTGAAGAAGTTCTTAGATCCTGTTACTGTAAATGCCCCCCCCCCCCCCAATAGCTATGATTCAAGTGTCTCTTAGAGCTAACGTTTTTTTCTAGGTTGATAAAATCAACATTTTGGGTGGAGGATACAAATCCGAGCTTCTCAAGCAAATTCCCGCCGAGAACCTTCCTGTAGCATTCGGTGGTGAATGTGCTTGCCAAGGCGGCTGTGAACTCAGTGACGATGGTCCATGGCAGGACAAGCAATACCTGGACCCTCCTGCTGCCACCACTGCCACCTCTGATGCTCCCGCTCCCGTTCCCGCTGCCACAACCACCGAAGCTGCTCCTGCCCCTGCTGCGGAGACCACAAATTAGAATTTATTTTTATAAATACGTCCCGTTATTGGGTTAAGAAGGGAGGAAACATTGGGTGTTTCCTCCGGAATAAATAATAAAAATGCTTTTCCGGTGACGTGGGAGTGAGGGGTGATTCGGTTTCCGAGTGTTATGATTTTTTTGTTTTTGTTTCCTGCGGCAGTAGAATTATACTATTTTTTTTACTTTCTTATACTCAATTTCCCTCGAAATTTTACTTATTACAAGGATGCGCATGCCTTGCTTTGTTCACTTCTTTTTAAGGGCGACAGATAGCCTAGTTTTGTCCTGTTCAAACCATATAATGACCAGTGTCAGTGCTTAAGGGCGATTTGTATGAATTGTATAAAGGAGATTGATTGTATTCGTAGAATGATAAAGGGGGAATTTGGCTAGGCACCTCCGGTAGACCCATTCCTCAAATCCATGATTCGTGTTGACAAGTGCCCAACTCTAGAACGATTATTATCAAGTGGATCCTGCTGGACCGATCTGGTGTTCGATCCCCGGCTTAAAGGACACACAAATGACCTCAAAAGCAATTGTCATGAGAGGCAGATAAACAGGATCCCAGCCTTGTAGTGTACCTTCCTTCTTCACTCACATCCATCATCCAGCCGTATCCATCCACCAATCCATTCACCTACCCGTCAATTCACCCCACAGGATGCTGCATCGGTTTCGCTGCTATTGTGCAGCGGCTGATGACTCATCATGTGCTTGGCACAGACCGCGGGTTAGGCTGAGCAGCCGCAGAATCCAAAGCAACACTCACTCCTCCGCGTTTTGCGAGCAGTCAAGACACCGCGAGAAAAGGAGAATCTTCCTCTTCCCTTACTCCACCCCCCTCCCACCCCTCTCCTCCCCCCTTCTCTTTCTCTTTGTTGTGCTTCATCTTTCCTCTCATTCATCTTACTCTTTCTTTACATAAATCAACTATCAGCAAGACACCCTCCAAACTGGATCGGCCTTCCGATCCTTCTGGCTCATGAGAACCGCAGTGCTTACCATGGAAGACCGGAAAAGATCCGTTCCCCATGAACCATCTGATGATTCTACCCCCCCTCTCAAACGTCAAGCACTTCAGTCTTCCTCCTCTTCAAACCAGCAAAACTCACACCAGCTTCCCCAAAGCCAGGAAGATGTAGTCGTAAGTTGCCTCCCCTCTAAACCCCCCTCGGTAGAGCTCGCTTCACAACAACTCCCCACCGTTTCCTCCTTTCAATACTAACCCTTGACTTAACAACAAAGCATTTTCAAAAAGAAGCAATATGGAGGCAGATGATGGAGTATAAGAGAGAGAGGAATATGCTCGAAATTAGAGTAGAGGAGCTAGAAAAGAAGTCAACATATCACGATGACCATCTAAGGGTCATAGATGCTTGGTGGGATCAGGTAAGGCCGAGCTTTGAACTCTTCCCCTCTCGAGTTTATGGCTGAGTTTTTGACGCATAGCTGCTCGACGAAGTCCGATTACTTACCGATCAACCTGATCATGCCGGTGGGGGTTATACTAATGGAGGTGAGTTTTACTGGTGTGCTGCTGACCCGTGAAAGATCGACAAAAAAAATTGACGGTCGTGTTATGCAATCAGCCTCTTCAGAATTCCCATCTTCACTGCTTTTCGACGATGTCGCAACGTTTTCTGGACATTTGAAGGAAAAACAAGTTCATATTACTTCTTCGTTAAACGCACTCTTTAAATCACTAAAGTCCACTTCGTCTGATCATGGAAAGAGTGACAAAGTTGAC